TTATTTATTTATTTATTTATTTATTTATTTATTTGTTTTTCGAGACAGGGTTTCTCTGTGGCTTTGGAGCCTGTCCTGGAACTAGCTCTTGTAGACCAGGCTGGCCTTGAACTCACAGAGATCTGCCTGCCTCTGCCTCCTGAGTGCTGGGATTAAAGGCAGTCTGGAAACACCCCTTTCCACCCAGGTATGGTTATTCTGTAGAGATGGTCTTTGAGGGAGACTTATAACCCACGGATGCTTTTCTAGAGTTTGGGAGTAGAAAGGGAGGAGCTCACAGCTGTGATCACTAACAGTTTTTTTTGCTGGAGGTGACATTCATAGCCTCAGTTTTCCAGAAAAGGAAGCGGGTTCCTAAAAAGATTAACTTTTTGACCTAAACTCTTCATGAAGCCAAAATGGGACTTCCCTGTGTTGCCCTGTCATCTTGGGACAAGGGGGATTCTGACAGAAGGCAAGGGGAGTCTCTTGAGACAAAACACGGATCATCGTCAACAGCCCATGCAGAGAAAGCACCAAACATCCCCAGAAACCTTGTCACGGGAGCCTCGGTTCTGCTAGAGTCTGCGGAGCGGGCTAGAACTTGGCTCCTCGTTACTTCCGCCTCATCCTCCCAATAAAGAACAAGTGTACCGGCGCCGGGTGTTGGTGTGGTGGTGGGTGGTGGTGGTGGTGGTGGTGGTGGTGGCGCATGCCTTTAATCCCAAAGAACAAGTGTAGCGAGGCTCCCTCACCACTGTGGTTGGCGGTTGAGAAACGAAATAAAAATCACCTGGACGGCCTTCCCGTTGACGTCTGTCCCCAAGGAGCCCGCGGTGAAGACAGCGTTGGGCACCGTGACGGTGCTGGTTTCGGACAGGTGCACGTACGACTGTGGGATGTTGAGCTCGCGACTAGCCACCTGCCGGAGACGGAAAGAGATAGCGTTTGTTTTATTGGCCTGAAGTCCTCTTCCAAGTGAAAAGCTGACATTCTTCCTAGAGGCGAGCATGAAGCCTGGCTGCCCTGCTACATGGACAGACGCCAGTCTCGGTTTTAAATGGCACTGTCAAGGACAAACTCCTCTTCTGAGACAGATGGTTACTAAAGAGCTTTTCCGTGCCTCCTTGGGTGCTGGCTTTGGGGAAGCCACACAATGGTATGGCCACAGCATGCGGGGTTTAGAGGGTACGAGGAGGTTGGCGTGAAGCTCTGGGTCCACTGTTTGGCTTGTGCCTCCTGCTTATCTACAGATGAGTTAGCAGGCTGCTGTCCTCAGAGACACTTCACAGGCTGTAAGGAAGTACGGCGGCCAGAGAGGGTTCTGGAACACTGTGTGGTTTTCTAGTTCTAAGAACCTTATCAAATCATGTTTATTTTTAAGGAATTTGAATTTCTCACGGGGAAGTTGTTTTCTTATTGATGAGCATTTTTTTTTCATACTCATTAGAAACCAACTGACCAACCAACCAATCAACCAACCAACCAACCAACCAACAAACAAACAAACAACCATGTTTTAGGGCTGGCAGGATGACTCAGTGGGTAAGGATGCCAGCTGCCAAGCTAGACAACCTGAAATCCACAGGGTAGAAGAAGAGAACTGATTCTCTATTCACTGCCTTCTGATCTTCACTGTGATGATGTGCACGTGCGTGCACACACATGCACAATACTCTCTCACACACATATACATCTCACACACACTCACACACATATACACTCACACACTCACATACACTCACACACACACACTCATACACACTCACACACAAACACTCACAGACATATACTCACACATACACTCACACACATTCATACATACTCAGACACAAACACTCACACACACTCACACACTCATACACATATACACTTACACACTCACAAACATACACTTACACACACTCATACACACACTTTCATACATATACTTGCAACACTCATATACTCTCACACACACTCACATAATATACACTCACACACACATACTCATATACACAGACTCATACACATGCTTACACACTCATACACTCACACACTGATATATGCTCGCACACACACTCATACACATATACACTCACACATTCTCTCTCACACACACTGTATACACACACACTCTCATACATATGCTTACATACACTCATACACACTCTCACACACACTCATATACACTCACACACCTATATATTCACACATACACTCACACACTCTCTCACACACACTCATATACACTCACACAACTCTCATACATATGCTTACATACACTCATACAACTCTCTCACACACACTCATATACACTCACACACACTCTCATACATATGCTTACATACACTCATACAACTCTCTCACACACACTCATATACACTCACACACACTCACACACACACACTCACTCACACACACACACTCATATACACACACACAATGTCAGGAAGTCAGTGGTTTAGGTGAACATCTAAAGCCATGGGTTTGTGGGTCTTCACACACATGCCTTTATGCTGTGTGACCTTCTGTGCCCCCTTCTCCTACCATATACACGTGGAATTCAGATGTCATACCCAACAACTGCTATCTCACATCAAGGCAAAGAAAGGAAAGCTTCCCACTGCGATGATCTCATAGGGAGACACTTTGAGTGATCTGTGGGACAGTGGCCGGCCCTGCGAATGCCTAAGTAGGGTGTACACTCTTCCCCCTCCTCCCTCCACCACTCACTTCACAATAGAAGGTGCTTGGCTTGCCCCAACCTCCAAGCAGATTGGCAGCGGTGCCTGCAGAGAGCTTAGGTTGCAGCCTCACAGCGGTGAACTCTCAAGAGCTGAGGTTTTCACCAGGTGAAGGGGTTGTTGTTAACGGAGGATCTGAACAAACACCTTATTGCTTGAGTTGTCGCCACACGAAATTAAAAAGTTTTATCTTTGGAGACTGATATTTCCCCCCTCCAAAGACCCACGGACTCAATTCTTGTAATGCAGGAAGAATGATATCAAATTTCCTTTGTTTTAGCTCCCTTCCCTCATCCCCTTGGATTTTTGCATCCCTGCAAGAAGGAATGAGTCTTACAATTGGCTTGAGTGTGTATTGTGTGGGCTCTCTCTGACTCAACATGGGAATAACCAGCCTGGCACCTGCACGATCTGATACGCTTCACAACGGGGAGCTCAAAGGCTTGCCTCACCTGAATCATTTTGGTGTACAGGCCTTGTCCCAGCTCACAGCCCCCGTGAGTCAGCAGAACCGAGCCATCCAAGTAGATGTGGACCAGAGCGGCGGCCTGGGAGAAACAACCATCGCACCAGCTTGGAAACCGAGAAGAGCCGAATGCTGTGGGTTTACTGGAGGCTGCTGGACGAACCACTTCCTTTGGTTTAACCAGCCTCTCATCTCTCATTGTCGATAAGAGAGCCGTAGACAACCCCTTGCAAGATACCCTGGTTCTGAAACCATCAACCTAGGTGTGTGAATGTGTGCATTTCCCTTTCCTCCGTCCTCAGCATCTGTCTCTTCAGGGCCTCAACCTGGACCATGCTTTACTGTTCTCTCTTTAACTTGACATGCCCGACTGGAACCCAGACGAGTAAATTTCCAGGCACATTCCTTCGGTGTGCTGGAGGACCTGGAGATGGTTTCTGCTTCCCAAAGGCTTTCTTTTACAGTGATGGTGGGTAGGGGAGGAGCAAGTCTCCCAAGGTAGTTAGTCCTGCTCAGCCACACCTGGCAGTGTAGCCTGGATACCCAGGTTTAACAAGATCTCCCATGTGATGTTAACGATGGTCAGGTTGGGGACCCATTGGCTTAGCCTGCGTTCTTCACTTTGTCCATGGGGGACTGGAAGCCTAGAGAGGGGGCTAGCTGGCCAAACCAAGGTGCCTAGCGCACGAGAAAGTATTAATGGGGGTTGAAAGCGAAAGATCAAGTTAGAACTTGAACTCCATGAGAAGCCAGTCATGGTGAAACTAGAGAAGAGGCAAGAAAGGGATCTTTTTGTTTATCCCAGTTCACTCTTGAAACTTGGCTTGACGTTCCAGTACTCATGTTCGGGTGCGGCTTCTCAATGGATCTCTCCACAAGGACCTTACTGTGGATGCTTTCCAAGGCCCTGCATACTGCATCCCAAACGTCTGTCCCAATATCCATGGGCCCAGCCCTTGTCCCTGCTCTGTCCCGCTAAAGGGAACTAACTGCCCTTTGTTTCTTTGTCTCCGGTGAGGGATAGCACAATTGCTTGTCATTCCCTTCCTTATGCATGAGCCCTTTTCAGAGAGCCAGGCAACTGGAGACGGAGTTTGTGGAAGATGCAGCTATTCAGCCTTACCTGATTGTAGAAGGCTATAGGCATCCCAATGCTATACTTCATGGGGATGACAGCAAGCCCCCTCTTCTTCCAATAATTCTTCTTGTTAAATTCCTCTGCAGCCTGCTTCCTAGCATAGAACGAGGACTTCTCCAGACATTCCTTCCAGCATCTTCGCAAGGGCTCCGGGTTAAATGTCTGCTTATAGGCTGTCTTGCTAGTTTGCTTGTACATGTTTATTTCTTTAACCTAAAAGGTGAGAACATGCATGCGTTTCTGTTACATGCCTGATATGGAGAAAATCTGTCTTAAAAAAAAAAACCCTCAAGAGTCAGGCGGTGGCAGCATACAGCTTTAATCCCAGCACTCGGGAGACAGAGGCAGGCAGATCTCTGTGAGTTCAAGGCCAGCTTGGTCTACAGAGTGAGTTCCAGGACAGCCAGGGCTACACAGAGAAGCACTGTCACAAAAAACCAAAACAAACAAACAAACAAACAAAAAGCAAAAAACTAAAAAAAACCCCAAACCCCCAAGTATATAAATACGCAAATGTATATGCTAACAATGATAACAACAATTAAAAAGCCAACAGAGACTACCAACAAATACCTCATGTGCTCCAGGTTCTAGTTTAAGTCTTAACTACTCCCAATTATTCCTACTTGACCTCTTTAGAGTCTTGCCCATGCCAGACTGGACCTCATCCCCTAAGTTATGTCTCTGTCTCCCTTCAAAGCCTTCAACTGTGGCCGGATGCTGCACAAAAGGCTGCAATCCTCCTCCTCAATTTCTGGTAGAGTTTCACACGGACTCTGGACTGACTTTGGCAGGATGGGACCATACACCATGATGTAGACAGAGGCCTGAAAAGTGTTTGTGGCTTAGGGCATGCCACTTACCTGAAGCCCTTGGGACCTCTGCAATACCCTCCCTCCATGAGAGTGAATCTGGGCTAGCTGACTGAAGGATGAGAGACTGGGGAACACACTTCTCAGATGAGACATAGCCAGATAAGCCAGTCAAATACTCATCAGAAATGTCAATAAAGCCATTTTGAACCATTGAGCATCCAGTGAGCTGGTCCAGACCAAAAGAGCCCCCAAGCGATTCACAGAATCAAAAGAAATGATGCCATTGCTTGAAGCTACAGTCTTGACCCTACTACAGTAGAATGTGTTAACTGATCATGAACAATGCATTGTATTTTCTTGAAACTATACATAGAGATTGGAGGAACTCGAGATACAGCCCAGGCGGTATCTCTAGGGCTCTACTGGCAGGGTTCCAATCGCTCACCTCTTCAGGGAGTAGGTTACATTTAGACGCCACCGCGGTTACGTATGCTTCGACTACCACTGTCGCCTGAGGGAAGCCGAATCCTCGGAAGGCGGTGTTAGATGGTAAATTAGTTTTGCAAGCCCTGCCCCGGCACCGGAAATTTGGGATAGAATATGCATTTTCAGATTTCAGCACAATGAACTCTATCACCTGGATTGAAACAAAAATGTAACGTTTCCTCTGCCATCGAGATCTCAAGCCACTGACTTGAAGTTTATCTTCAGCTCAAACCCTTTGCAGAACCGGTTAGCTGTAAGACAAGGGTTTGTGCAGCTAAGGTAAGGACCACGGGCTCCCCTGCCCCCCGGAAGGCGTATTTACCATCTCAGACTCATCAGGGGTGCACCCTCCATTGATGTAATACTCCACGTCAGCCGCCTTGATCTCCCCGTTATTCATGAACCCGATCTGCAAAGGGGTGTACGAGGAAGACAACTTTCTCAGCAGTCTTTCCCTGCGGCCAAACTGTGCCGGGCACAGACACACACACACACCTCTACTGTAGTTGTCAGCCTGCGCCCAGACCCATGCTGACGATAGGCTGTGACAATCGCCAGGGAAAGGTTATCCTAACATGACCCAGGAGGGTCTGCCTGTTTTAGGCAGCGTTCCAATCTGCCTTTTAAGAGGTGTGGCGTCCAGACACAGTCTTTAACGTGGGTCGCTTGGCAGAGGACAGGCTCTTAGGCAGACTGCTGAGTTTGTGGGTCTCACTCACTTTGTATTTCCCCAGGAGCGGGTGTCGGCCAGCGGTTATCAGCATGTCGGCGCTACGCTCTAGGATAAAGCGGATTGGGCGGCCAGTCCTGTGGGAAATAACTCCGTTACAAAGCCTCGTCCTCCATCAAGTTGCAGACACACGAGATGGGGAGGGGAAAGAGTCTTGAAGTAATTAGTTCGGTGGTTTTACACGGATAGTAACATGTCCTAGATGACGTCTTAGAAGTAGTGGGCAGATTGGAATTAAAACAATTATTCTGGTTTAGTCAACTGAATATTTGCATAGTATGATGATACAATATTTGGCTATAAATCATTCCTATTTCCTTAATTGTTTCTTTGTATTTTTGAGCTTGCTTTGTAGACCAGGCTGGCCTTGAGCTCACAGAGACCCGCCTGCCTCTGTCTCCCGAGTGCTGGGATTAAAGACGGGCGCCACCGTAGCCTGGTTTTCTTTTTCTTTCTTGAGGCGGGATTTTACGACACAACCCTGGCTGGCCTTGAACTCTCAGAGATCCACCTGCGTTTTGCGGCAGTGTGCAGCTGGCTTCGGAACAAGCTGCTGTAAGGCTGGGGGTCTAATTGTCTGTCCCGCCAGCTTCAGCTGAGCTGCAGGTTGAGATGAGAGGTGGGGGTGGGGTTGGCTAGCTGATGGTACAGAGGTTGCTTACTTGTTGGCAGCCACAGCAGTAACAGCTCCCAGTAGAGCGGGCTTGGTCACTTTGCCTCCAAACGCTCCTCCGGCTCTTTTCATGTGGCAGGCAATTCTACTCCTGGGGACCTTCAATGCTGCAGACACATATTCCTGCAAGAGAGAGCCCCGTGGCCACCTAAGTGTGCTGTTCTGGTTCTCCAGTCCAAACAACACCTCCATTGATACAATTGGAGCCACCTTAGTCTCGTCCAAAAATTCCAGCACACCCAAAGAAAACCCGATCCATCAGGCAGCCACTCCATATTTCCCATTAACCTCTCAGTACCCAGCAGCCTGGAGACTGTGTCCTGTCTCTACAGACAGGTCACACAGCAGAGCTATACAGTATGTGGTCTTTGCGACTGATTTCTTTCGCTTAGCATCTTGCTCTTTACGGATGAATAATATTCCACTGTACGGAATATAATTATCTTTTTTCCCTTGTCGTTTGTTAATGGACAGTGGGTTGTTTCCAGTTTAGACTCCCGTAAGTAAAGCTGTTATGAACGTGTGTCTAAATTTTTAAAATTAAAAATGTTTAAATTAGCACGCAAGGTGTTAGATGTGTATGTCTTCACAGGCGTGCTTCTATTCCTCTCAGCTGCATACTTAGTCACGGAACTGCTGGGTCACATGGCTATTCTCTTTCCAGCATCCCGAGAGACTGCGGAGCTGTATTCCAAGGCAATTGTGCTGTGGGACAATCTTTTTTTTTTTTTTTTTAAATATTTATTTATTTATTTATTATGTATACAATAGTCTTTCTGTGTGTATGACTGCAGGCCAGAAGAGGGCACCAGACCCTGTTACAGATGGTTGTGAGCCACCATGTGGTTGCTGGGAATTGAACTCAGGACCTTTGGAAGAGCAGGCAATGCTCTTAACCTCTGAGCCATCTCTCCAGCTCCTGCTGTGGGGCAATCTTGTACACTGTAAATATGTGTTACCCTCACTGGTTAATAAAAAGCTCACTGGCCGATAGCTAGGAAGGATTTTTCAGGGCAGAGAGAATGCTGGGAAGAAGAAGGGTGGAGTCTGAGCTGATCCCCGTGAGAAGCAGAGTGAGCAGGATAGGAAGGAAGTACATGAGGTAGATGAGCCTCGGGGCAGCACATAGATGGATAGGAATGGGTTAATTTAAGTTATAAGAGCTAGCTAAAAACAAACCTAAGCTACCAGCTGAGCATTCATAGTTAATAAAAGTCTCTGTGTGGTTATTTGGGAGTGGCTGCTGGGATACAGAAAAACTCTGTCTATATAAATTTGCCATTTTTTCATGCCTGTTGGTAATTTATGGAGGTTCCAATTTCTCTGCGTCTTTCAAACACTGCCATCTTTTTTTTTTTTTATCATAACCATCTTAGTGGGTGGCTTTGATTTGGGTTTCCTTGGTCGCTGATGACGGTGGACATCTTAGACTTACTGATCATTCATAGCTTTTTTGCCCAAATGCCCGCTCAGATCCTCTCCTGGGTGGTTTTTGTTGCTGCCTGGACTATGGCAGCCTGTGGGTGCCTAGTGTCTACCGGCATGCCCGCTGCTGTGGAACTGACTGATTATAGCCAGGAGGTCTCGGTGGTAGACGACAATGGTGATCTTGGCCTTTGTGGTCCCAGAGCTACCACCAGGGACATCAGAAGTGATCTTGATTACTTTCCGCAATTTACAAGAAGGGCTATTGTTGCCCAGCAATTGTCAAGAGCTCACCCAGCTGCTTAAGGGTAAAGCTGCCTCTGTCTGCTTCAAAACTGGAAACCGTGGAGGCCACAGGCCTATCTGTGCTCAGAGGCAAGGCCATCGCCTCTCCATTGCCTCGAATGGAGACTGATAGCGTCCTTCTGTCCTTCTGACCCACAGCCCCCCCTTCAGGACGCTGGGAGTCAGCTCCCCTGCATGCTATCAGAGAACCCTCAGCTCTTTGCTCCAGCAATGCTTCTCATGACCCTTTTCTCTGATAGAAACTTCAACTATCTCCTCAGGCTTGGCACTATGTTAGGGTTAACGACACCATTTTGAGAAAAGGACATCAGAAGGTTTTCTTCAGTCCCTGGGTAGATCCGTTGCTCCAGTATCAACCACTATTGCAGGACTAGAGTTTAGGTACCGCCTTTTGAGCTGGCTCAAATGCTTTGAGAATGCAATCGCTTTACCCATGAACTGAACCATGACTCATGGGTATATTCACATAAGAGGACCACACTGGGAAGTTCCGGTTCGACACCCAGACTTGACTTTCCTGGGATTTTCACACTGTTATTTGTTTGACAGGGAAAGACGGACCTTGTCTTATACATTGGCACATCACAAGATTTTCTGATGACTTTTAAAGGCACCTGCCCCGTGTTTATTATGCTGGACTCTGGTCAAGTATGCACGGAATTGAAAGACAGGAGTGGAGAGAAGCTTATCCCAGGGTCTCTGCAACGCCCCTGTTACCTGAACGTGGGTTGGGAACTGTGTTCCTAAGTGTAACACCATCTCTTTGTCCTCAGCTTGCGGGATAGCCAGGATACTTTGCGTCTCCATGTAGAAATGTTCTTGGCCTTCCACGTGGATCTCACCTGAAAAGCAAACACACAGGACAACGCTTAGACACAGGTTTCAGCATGGGAGCTCTTTGAGTGTTCTGTTTGTGAGCAGTGATTCGCATTGTGAGACTGGAGAGATGGCTCAGTGGTTAAGAGCACTGGCTGCTCTCCCAAAGGACCCTGGTTCAATTCCCACCACTCAGCATGGTGGCTCACAACCCTCTCTAACTCCTCTTTTAGAGGATCCTATTCCTTCTCTCTCCTTCAGTACAGGTACACACATGTTGCTTAGACATACGTGTAGGTAAAACACCCATGCACATAAAATAAAACAAAGAAGAAGGGGAAAAGTGATTTGCACTCACTTGTGGAGCTGAGCATCAATACCATTGGGTTAAAAGACCTTTGCTGTCTGTGCCCGGTTGGTTGAGCAGACCTGGGTTAGTCACTTTGCCTCTCTTGGTCTTGGCTCCCATCTGTTTAGTAAGGTGATTAGGCTTGTTGTATACTGAACTTGAGACTAGTCCAGCTACCTACCCAGGCTCAGTTGTCAACCTGGTAGGTGAATTTGTTTAAAGTTTCAAACCCAATGTTCTCAGCTGCAAAGATAAGCAAGCTAGAACCACACTAAGACTGCCCACCTGAGTCAGGTGACAATAGCAGGTGAGATCATGCCACGTGCCTGAGTTAGGTTCAGTACATCTTATCACGCTGTGCACCGCGTTAGGAGATGTATCTGTCCTCAGTGTGAATACTAGAAGATAGTGTTCTGCCTGTCCTGGTATGAGAGAGGACCTGCTGGCAGAGGGAACCTTAGGCCTTTTTTTTTTTTTAGATAGATAGAGAAATGTAGCTTCCTCCTGTGTCTGTTTTTTCTTAGTTGCCTTCAATTAAAAATAATCTCTATGCTAGCATGGCAAATTTTGAACATTTTATTCAGTTTTTATTACACGTGTGTGTGTGTGTGTGTGTGTGTGTGTGTGTGTGTGGTTTCTGGGCACTGGAAACACTGTGTATGTTGATGCATGAAGTATTTACATAGCTTTGTATTTATGTAAAACGCATACAGTTAGGAACTGATTGTCATTTTAGGTTCTGTTTAACAATGACAGAGACTTTCAGTTTTCTCAAGCCAGACGAGCTTCCCGCTTCAGAAGCTCCTCCTCTTCCTGGCGGCTGACGGCCATACGTACCTTCAATGACTTGGTCCACATGTTCGAAGGCATATTCCACATTTCCTTGCTCAATTTTTTTCTCAGAAGACAGAAAGGAATTGTGTTCTAGGGCTTGCTGCAGTGGAAGATGAAACCGAAATAAATTAATTTTTTTTATTCTAATGAGCCATCTGTCCCTATCCGAATTTCACGCTTCTGCTTGGTCAGAACTTTTCATAGACGATTAGAGGCTGCCGTGGAGTTGAGCCTTCAGAAACCTATTTAGACGTATTTGCAGACTATCGTGATTCACTGCTAACGGCTCCTGAGAAGAGCTGAGAGGGGTACAAGGGTACGTACACATGGCCCCACTTCCAGATTGCTGACTGACTCTCTGAGGTGGTTTAATGACTAAGGTATCATCTCTGGAGCAAGGCGAGTTTATGGCTGAGCAAAGAGGGGTCAAGAAGAGGCAGGTAAAACTTGGAGTGTTCCAGAATGATCTAGAATGGACGCTTTGAATTGGATCCGGAGTCATTTTAAGACAATGGTTCTTCAAAAATGAGGGGCCAGAGTGAGAATGAGGCAATCCTGGTTGGGATGGGGGTTCTTGGCGAAGAAACAATGGGAGGTGGCAGAGATAATGAGTTTGGGCAGGACTGGGAGTGGCCTTCATTCTACACCTGTGACACTGCCTAAGAGGACAACTGTAGATCAGGAAAGAGGACGCTGAACTCCGAGTGTTAAAAGTCAATGTCCTGAGGAGGAGGGCCGCAATGGAAGGCAGGAGCCTCTCAGAGAGACCATGATGAAAATAAGTTATTGAGGATGGGCCTGGAAAGTGAGAACGAAAAGAGAGGAACAGGCTCAGGACAGGTAAAGCCTCATTAGTAGCAGGGGCAAATCCAAGGATGCTCAAGGTTGCACCCTTTAAGCCTCCGCCTGCCCACCCACCTTTCCACGGCTCCGGCATCCAACACACAATCCCGAGCATCTGCTATGAGGTTAGCGCTCTCGTAGATACGAACAACGTGAACAAAGAATATAGCACGGCCTTGCTTTCATGAATAGTAGCCAAACCTAAATGGCAGCACGCATCTCCTGAACGCATTCCCCAGCAGAGGTGCTGGGATTCCCGTCTCTAAATGTCTCAATAACCTTTTGGTGCAGGTACCTAAAAGTTTCCAGCTGGGGTGTGGAAAGTCTAATTAGCTTGCCAAAGTCTCGATTGCTGCTCAGAGGCTGTCAAGTACAGTACGAACTCAAGTTATCTGTCTCCTTCGCTTGTGTGTAATCAAGGAACGCGCAGAGAGGCAGGGTGCCCAGTAGCTGGCAAGTGTTAAAACTTTCGTGAATTCCACAGGGCTCCAGACCATCCTATTCACTGCCTGTGGGCAGGAAGTCTTTTTTCTGGTGTTAACTTTCTGTATTCTCAAGCTAGGCTGTGGCCAGAGGCCACGGGAGAAGCAGGTACAGGGTGCTTCATTTTCACAGATCCCTGCAGAAGGGCTGGGGAGAAGAGGGGATTTAGACAGGACAGCCTGACTTGAGGTGCAGAAAGGTTACTTGGGGGCTGTACTCTAAACCTACAGGTGACACTGGCTAAATTATAGTGGAAGCACAAATTATTTATTCCACGACTCGCTGATTGAATTCGCTGAATATGCCTCCCCCGTTATTCCAGAAGATGGGCGATGCCTACCTCTATTGTGATAATCGCTGGCTCTATGTCGTCATAAGCAATCCTCACTCGCTTAGCCGCTTCTTTCGCGTGGGCATAGGTGTCCGCGGCCACGGCACAGACGATCTGGCCCACGCAAATGACCTGCAGGAAAGCCACGTGTTGTTAAAGCAGACTTAGGGGCTGGAGACGCGGCTCAGCTGGGACAGTGCTTGCCTAGCATACGTGAAACCCTGGGTCAGATCTTCAGTGCCACGGAGGTGTGTGGAGCACCCGGGTCCATAGTGAGTTCAAGGCCAGCCTGGGACACGTGACATCCTGTCTCAAAGCCAAAAACAAAGCCAAAAACAAAGCGTAGTTTTTCCAAAAGGAATTAGCGGTCCACATTCTTACACTGCCTATTGATGTTTTGGTGACCAAAAGGGAGATTATTTTCTTTTCTTTGTTTTTGTTCTCATTTGACAAGGTTTTTCTGCGTAGCCCTGACTGTCCTGGAGCTCCCGCTGTAGACCAGGCTGGCCTTGAACTCAGATCTGCCTGTCTCTGTCTCCCTAGTGCTGGGATGAAAGGCGCGAGCCACTGCACCAGGCTTAGAAAGATGGTTTTTCCTCACGAAAATCAAACGTCATCTTGGGTGGAACTGATCAAAGCTGCTCGTGCCCAGAACATAGCTACTGGAGTTTATTGATCTGCCCTCTGTTGTCTCTGCCCACCTTCCTCCTTGTTCCCACAGAGTGATCCAGTCACCCTGTAATTCTTCTTCCTCTCAGTGCCTTATCCTTTCTGTTGCTTAGGTTACTTTCCCAATGGTTAGAAGCCTCCCTTGAGAGGACTTCAGGCTTTTTGTCAGAGTCTCCAGGCGAGTCAAGAGCTCAGAGGGAGGGGGAGAGTGACCGAGGCCACCCCGGGCTTCTAGAGAATGAAACTCTAGATGTTGGAACCACAACCATCGATTTCGACGTTGGAGCAGAGTATGAGGTCACAGACCACACACAGATCACGCACCTCATCCTGTGAGTAGAAAATTTCTCCACTGTGGTTATTTTCTCCTGGAACGTCTTCAGCTGTAATCACATCAACCACACCTGGACACTCCAGGGCTTCAGACACATCCAGTGATCTGGAAGAACACGGGAGGATAACAAGGTTGCAGAAGAAAGATCACAGTCAGACAGGTAACTCTGTGATGAGCACCAGAACTAAATCACCGCGTAACAGTCTCAGCTGGAAAACAGTGGCAGGTGTTCTAGCTTCAGGGCCATAGATCATTTATAACTATGCTTTAAAAACAGCCGTTTCTCACCCAGAAGAGATGGTTATCCCAAATTGACGTCAATGTGAAATAAGCCCTCAATTTGGGTGTGAAATAGTGAACGCATTTCAGTAGCAGATGGCATCACTGCACCGTTCCTTACGTGATCTTTGCATGGGCCCTGGTACTGGTGACGACAGCAAGGAAGAGTTCTTGGTCAAGGGGAGGCATGTCATCGATAAAGATAGCTTCTCCTGTGGTGTGTTTAATGGCCGACTGGTGCATGACCGGGCGCCCCACCGGGTCTTGCTGGGGTTGGTTGGGATCCACACACTGTTAGGAAAGAAGGCAAGATATTTGACCTCAGACCCGACGATCGGGCCTGCTGTGTCTGGCTTGCTTACAGTCAAGAATAACTAGAGGCAACGAGATAATCAAGTCTGTAAATGGAGATCAGTAAATATCTCTCGAGTATATGGTAAGGGATCTATTCTGGTTGCAATACCCTTCTGCAAAGAAGACAGCGTTTGTGCCCTCAAGAATTCTTCAGCCCTAACTAAGGGATTAGAACACACACACAAATACATATCAAAATAATATGTTCTACTTCAGCTTGCAATAAAGCATAATTTACACAACCCAAAAAAAAAGCGTAATGGAAATAGCCAAGGTCCTGGGAGATTCGGGGGGGCTGTAGCAAAGCAGGGAAGGGCTTGGGAACGTGTTTAATGCTGAGCAAGAATTTAAAGGAAGGTCAGAGATTCACAAAGTAAAGGGGAATTTTAGGTAACAAGTCTGAAAAAAGTAGAGAAGCAAGATTCAGACTCTAATTCCTCGAGCAAACCATGCAAACTGTATACACCTGACCATACATGACATTGGCTGGCTTTTTTTTTTTAAATAAGACTATATATTTACTCATAATAAAGTTATTGAAAAGAGAGGCACATGAATATAACATGTCTTGTCTGAATGTATCGATTAGAAAAAAGAAGCCCTACCCACCTGGAACATCTGAATTCCTTGGGGAGTTTCTATGGGGAAGTCGTCCAGAGCACTCACGAACTTTTCTGGGATGTCAGGAAACTTCTGGGGATCCTGAAAAAGTTACTCTGCATTCAGTTTTACAATCTGAGCTGCCACCTTGAGAAACAAGTGTAGAGACAGAGTGACCCAGGCTCATGAGGTGGTTTCACAGGTAAAGGCGTTTGCCGTTAAACCCGATGACCGGAGTTTGATCCCTGCAACCTACAAGGCAGAAGGAGAGGACTGACCTCTCTCTCTCTCTCTCTCTCTCTCTCTCTCTCTCTCTCTCTCTCTCTCTCTCACACACACACACACACACACCTCTATAAGGAAAAGTTTAGAAAGACACACACTAAAATATTTGCAGAGGTTGAATATGGGTGGCAGGATTGCATGTAATTCTCCCTTTTTGGTTCTAGTTCCAAGTATTAAAATATCCTTTTTCTTACTTCAGTAAGAAAATCTTTTTTAAAGAGGCAAAGATGCAGTTTGCCTACCGATGACGTTTCCTTATGGTTGGTCATGTTAGCATTTATCCCTCAGAGGGAGCGGTGTGGTTGCTCCCTTCTGAGACCCAGAATGCAGGGAGCAGGAGCCGCAGGACCTCACCGCAGCCCCCGTTATGGTCCAGTCCGAGCAGGGCTTGTTCCTTGTGAACAGACCCAGGCGACCCGGGGCCCAGAGAAGCAAGCCATTTACCATTTTGTTCAGCCACCGGCGCACTTTGAGGTAGAATTTGAAGAGCAAGCTGACGATGAGGGTCCGCCGGTATTCCACCATGCCGCCCTGGGCTGCTGCTGGGATGCGGATCTCCTCCAGAACCCACCGGCACGCGTCACTCAGCATCTGGTCGTCCCATTGCCTGGCAGGACAGGAGATGAACGTGTCACAGACGACGCCACCAGGGCTGGACCAGTTACGGTGAGCGGAGCCCCTCACAGAGCAAAGCTGTTTGTTCCCTGTCTTCTCTGTAGCTTTGGAGCCTGTCCTGGAACTAGCTCTTGAAGACCCATGTCCTCTGCCTTCTGCAAATGACCTTCCACGTTCTACCGCGAACTGACCCACCAAGAGCACCTCGCCAGTGCTGTGACCCTGGGCGTCAGCCGCCAGACCAGTGGCTCTCAGCCTATGGGTCACCACCCCTATGCACACACCTGAGACCATTGGAAAACAATGATACTCACATTACAATTCATAACAGTAGCCAAATTACAGTTATGAAGTAGCAACAAAAATAATGTTATGGTTGGGGGGTCACCCAAACAGGAGGAACTGTATTAAAGGGTCACAGTATTAGGAAGGTTGAGAGCCACTGGTCTAGAGCCACAGGCCAAAATGAAATTCTTCCCTTTATACATTACTTGGTCTCTAGTGTTTTCTTAAAGTATGTTACAGCAAGCAGGCAAGCAGGCAGACACCAGACTACTGGAGCAAGAAAAAAATGGGGTGCGACTCTAATTATCTTCCAAGTCCAAACATAAAGCCCTTAAGACAGCCATTAGCTTTCTTTTATTTTTTCCCTCCCTCCCTTCCTCCCTCCCTCCCTCCCTCCCTCCCTCCCTCCCTCCCTCCCTCCCTCCCTCCCTCCCTCTCTACCTCCCTCCCTCCCTTTCTATTTTGAGGCAGGATCTTTCCTAGCTGAGACTGGCCCCCAGAGTGCTATTCTCCTGCCCCCTTCCCAAACGCTCCACCACACCAGACCCTTTAGTTTCTTCAGCATCTGATCTAAAAGTTGCCAAGTGTTTCTTTCTGTGTCTTCCTCTGTCCTTTTTTTAAAGTTGCACAAGCCAATAGGATGGATTTATTTAGGTTAAAAAAAATTGACCCTGTAAAAAACCAAAGGTTTCTGAAATCTGGAGCCTGGCACACAAGCCCAGCGAACAACAGATTAGGACTGAACAAGTCACAAGTGGAAAGTTTCTAAGGTTGTCTTGGAAGTGAGGGTTTCGTTCAGTATCCAAAGAAAACCACATTAAATCCCACTTACTGGGAATGAGCATAAATGGGTAAATAAAAACTATTGCAAAAGCACTATTTGGAAAAAATTAAAAGCAAAACCCAAACCAAAAAAATCTTCCTTGTTGCTAGCCAGCAGGAGAGTGACAGGAACAGGCCTCTTTGACCTTTCAAAGATTCCATCTTCTTGATGTGGCTTAAACACAGTTTTTATCTTCAGGATTCAGTATTGGGGATATTTGTTTATTTTACAAGTTAATTACTTAAAAATCATATCTACTCAAGCTAAGCAATTTCTGCAATAATTGTACAGAAACCTGCAATAATAGAAGAATATTTATATAAAATATTGTTTGTATAAAATAGAAAATGTTTTTGTAAAGTATATTAATAAAATATCAAAAGACTTATAAATGATTTATTTATATAAAAATATATATGTTTATAAAGTCTCAGAAAGATTTCCACGGTATAATCTTAATGAAAACTCTTCAGACAGAAAGGTCTGTGCGTGGCAGCCCAGGCGGGCTGTTGCTTACCTCCCAATGAGCTGCTTGCAGGTTTGGCTCGCAGAGACCACCGTGGGGGCCACACTTCCAAAGAACATCTGAAGATCCTTGATGGTGTTTGTGCCTTCTTCAAACTCCACGCTCATGCCAGCGTTGACAATGGCGGCGGCGTTTTCCTGACGTTGGGCCAGCCGGAGGCCTGCCACAAAGTGCCACTGGAGACAGAAGAACACTCAGGATGGTTAGTGCATTCCACCCGGCAACTACTCTGATAGCGTGTGTGTGTGTGTGTGTGTGTGTGTGTGTGTCTGTCTGTCTGTCTAGGCATGTGTGTGTTCGTGTATGTGTGCATGAGAATGTGCGCATATGTGTGCATGTATGTGTGTATGCATATGTGCATGTATGTGTGCAGGCATGTGTGTGCACATGCGTGTGTGCACACATGTGTATGTGTGCATTCCTGCGTGTATGTGTGCACAAGTGTAGGCATGTGTTGTGCGTGTATGTGTACGTGTGTGTGCATGTGTGTGTTTGTGTGTGTATGTGTGCACATGTATGTGTGCACCCGTGTGTGTAGGCATGTGTGTGTGTGTGTAGGTGTTTGTGGGAATGTGCACAAGTATGTGGAGGTGGAGACCAGAGGTTAACATCAAAGTTTTCTTCAGTTTTCCCCATTTGGTGGAGACTCTGCTGTCTTCGTGTTACATTGCCTCTGTCGTATAAACATCATCGTGCCTTAAGTGTTCAAAGGTGCTCATCTGCTAACACGGCCTCAGACCTCCTGCTGTTCCTCATCTGCTCCATGCTACGCTCTCAGTCTCGGTCCTCTGATGCTGTGACTGGTCTGGTCTGCCCATCCCTTTCTTCGTCCTCTTGCCTGGAAGTGTGCCCACTTCCCCAAAGATCCAGAGCCCATTACAGGCCGTGTTGGATCCCAGCTGCTGTGCTGTGCCATGTGTCCGTCCGTCTGTCCACTCATCTGTCATCGCTGTCATTGTTATGTAGTGCCCCGCCCCCCACAGGCTCCATCATGTTGACTTCCAGCCCAGAACTCCTTCAGTTCTTTATCCACTCATTTCTCGTCCTTGGCGATTTTGAGTTTTGTTTCCTATTTCAAACTTTCCCACTAGACTTTGGGAACGCTAGACCTTTTAGACTCTTATCCTGTCTTCAGGGCTCAGTACTGTGTTGTAGAAGTAGCAAGAACTTAGTACATAAATGCTTTCATTTAAATCACCCAGTTGATAACTACAGGTGACTGACAAATAGCTATGAAAAACTTCAGCTCACTAGAGACTTTTATAGCTGATAGGGCCTATAATTTTACAGACTCCCAGCTAAGATGCATTTTCATCTATAACCATAGCTTCCACCCACACAGAAGTTTCTGTGTTTGGAAGGCCAGCGTCTTTTTAGGAACCCCCTGAAAAGTCACAGGTGGCTCTTCCGTAGAAACAACTGCGATGGTCATCTGGGACTCGATCCCTCACTGTGGGTGGCCCCAGACTCTCTCAGAAGCAATCATCTGCAATAGAGAGGCCCATCCGTTTGGAAGCACAGGGCAAGGGGACACGTGGAGGCAGGCTGCAAGTACAGGAAGCTCACCTGGGTAGTGTATGGGATGGAGACAGACACCACCACCCATTCTGGCTTCAGGTTGTTTTCAGGGGACCCCTCAAGGAAAGCGCCATCGAAAGGAATCTGCTGTTCTCCTTCTGTTACAGAAAAAGGATCTGGATGAAGACACATTTACAAACAGGAGACTACACCATGAGTATCTGGAATGTCTGGTGTGGTGAACTGGTGTGGGCTAGGAGCCGGAGTCTGGGGCACTGAGTTCTAGCCCCAAGCCTGGGCTGCCTGAGGCAAGTCATGCAAACTTAGGGGGGCACGGTTCCAGGCTTCAGAATGACACGGTTAAACCAGATGAGCTGAAAGTCTCATAGCCCACTGCAGGCCACTGGGCTTAAAGATCTTTACCATTATTGCTCAACAACCTGCTACAATGTATAACATTTCACAAATGAGAAAGGGGAGATCCAGGAAAGTTAAACTATTTTTCCAAGGTAGCATAGTGGAGTGTGTGTGTGTGTGTGTGTGTGTGTGTGTGTGTGTGTGCATGTGGGTGTGGTTACACACATCTGTGTGCATATGCTTGCACATGCGTGTAACAGCCTTGTTACATCAACCTTGGATGCCGTCCCCCGGGGTTCTCTCTACCTTGGTTTCTTTTGAGTTAGGTTAGGGTCTGCCACTTGGCCTTGAACATGACAGTTAGGGAGACTGACTGCCCAGGGATCTGCTTGCTGTCCATCTCCAGCTTCTGGGATTATAAGAGCTCCACCATGCTTGGCCTCCCCTGCCCCGGTGGGTTCTGGGGATTAAACTCATGGTGCTTATACAGCAAGCACTTTGCTATGAAGCTTCCTATCCAGTCCCATCTCCTTTTCTTTGGTTAAAATGATAAGCATGTGCCCTTTTTCTTAGATAGTTAAAAATCATTGGAATCACTGCTTTAAATTCAGGGAAGAGAGTTTACATTAGTAGCACTGTGGATAGCAACAACTTGCTTTTATTCCCCTAAATTTAGATTATTTTTCTTTCCCAAAGCTTATATTTGAATAAAAAGGAGTAATGAGTAGTATATAAAAACTGCCTTCTTTTCAAAACCAGGAAAAGAAATGTGTCATAAACCTCAAGGCTGCCGAGAAGCCTCTTAATCTTTTCTCTGTCTTTGCATTTGTTGATTTATTAATTGTGCGTACAAGTGCTACACTGCTTGTGTGGTGGTCAGAGGACAACCTGTAGGACTCTGGTTCTCTCCTTCAACCACGTGGGTCCTGGGGATCAAACTTAGGTTGCAAGGTTTGGCAGCAAGTATTTAATCCACTGAGCTACTTATGACATAAGCCCTGATTCTTTTTTTAAACTTCTTTGATGCTATAATTTTGATTGCTTATAGATCAAATATTTAAGAAAAATATCAGAGACATTAATCCAGTCTGTAGAGAGGAATTGGAAGGGCAGCAAGGAAACCACAGCTTCTGGCTCAGGTTTGAGGAGATGTTTGAGGCTCAGGGGCCAAGTAAGATGTTCTCGAGTTCCTTCCTTCCTTCCCTTCTCCTTTCCTTCCTTCCTTTCTTCCTTCCTTCCTTTCTCTCGCTCTCTCCTCTCTCTCTTTCTTTCTTTTCTTTTCCCCCCCGTTTCTTTTGAGACCTGGTTTCTCTGTAGCTTTGGAGCCTGTCTTGCAACTAGCTCTTGTAGCCCAGGCTGGCCTCGAACTCACAGAGATCCACCTGCCTCTGCCTCCCAAGTGCTGGGATTAAAGGTGTGCGCCACCACCGCCAGGCTTGAGTTCCTATTTCATAATATATGGCAGGATCTCTGCAATACTCGTAAGTATAAAATCAAACACCCAAAGCTTGGCCTCTTACCTGTAGACATCACATTGATGGTAGCGTTTCCTGCTGCTAGAATGGGGTTGAGGTCAGAGAAATTGGGCCGGCTCACCATGTGCCCTCCTAAAGACTAATAAAAAGAGGACATCAGAAAAAGCTTCACTCCGTTATCGGACAAGTAAAGAATCATGTACATAGAGCTACTGCATACATTTAAAATTTTTCCTTTTGCTCTGCAGAAAGATCTGGGGTATTCAGAAGCTGCTAAATCATCCAGACATCATGTGATGCTTATCTCTCACTTCTGACCCACCTGAATGACACAGCCACAAAAGCACCTGTGCAGGTGAGGAGAAAAACGGTCCTAACACACATTTGCGTCTGTTCAGAAGCCTTCCTTGATATACATGCTCATTCATGAGCCAAGTAAGAGAGGTGAATGGAGACCTAGAGAATGATGTCAGCCTCATTCATAAAACCAAGTTAGAGAAGGGAATGGAGACCTAGGGAGTGATGTCAGCCTCATTCTTAAAACTAAGTAAGAGGGGTAAATGGAGACCTAGGGAAAAGGTTAGGGGGAAAGTGATGGTATAACACACACACACACACACACACACACACACACACACAGTCCTATAAGGGAGAGTGGAGAGCCTGCAGCCCCATAAACAGACCCGGAGTATGGTGCATTTACATTTAGGATGGCTTCCAAGCTGCAGAGAAACCCAGTGCTTCTTTGTAGCCTTAACCCTTCATCAGAGTCTGCTTAGGACAGGCTTGGACAGGGGCCTTTAGGGGACTTACGGGAACAAGTTCATTGAGAGGAGCAAGGTCCTTCACAAAATGGACATAAAATACAGATGTAAGAATATGTGGCAGATTTATGAATCAACAGAAGGCCAGAGACAATGATGAGAAATTAACGTCTGCTGGGCCGCCACGTCCTGATGGTTTGCTCATCGTGTGTGCAGTAGGGAGTGGTTTTGAGCCAATTACCCTGAAATCTTAAGTAGTGGAAAATCCCAGTAAGTGAGGCATCTAGACACCTGGGGATCCAAGGACGTATGCACGGGAACACACATCAGGAATGGACATCGGCACAAAGGTGTGAGAGAGAGCAAATCAGAAGAGCATCTGGGAAGGCAGCATCTTGTTAGCTACACCTTCGGAAAGACTAGCTTCATAGATGGCCAGAGCTGGATGGGACCCTGGACACAGTCTCATGTGGTTGGACTTTGTTTGTTTGTTTCACTTTTTTTTAATATTTATTTATTTATTATGTATACAATATTCTGTCTGCGTGTATGCCTGCAGGCCAGAAGAGGGCACCAGACCCCATTACAGATGGTTGTGAGCCACCATGTGGTTGCTGGGAATTGAACTCAGGACCTTTGGAAGAGCAGACAATGCTCTTAACCTCTGAGCCATCTTTCCAGCCCCTCACTTTTGTTTTTTAAGACGGGTTTCTCTGTGTTACTTTGCTTGTCCTGGAACTCACTCTGTAGACCAGGCTGGCCTCAAACTCAGAGATCCACCTGCTTCTGCCTCATGAGTGCTGGAATTAAAGTCGTGTGCCACCGCCGCCTAACTTTAGCTTTCGAACTCAAGTGACTTCGGTTTAAGGACTTCAAGAGGCTTCCCTAGGATAACTGGAACAAGAATTTGTGCCTCTTTTGATGGCATGATTATCATGATTAGTGATCACGTTAGACACATACACACACCTCCCCCAACACATACACTTGTGATATCTGTCATTTGAAACACACACACAAACACACTCACACACACACATACGTGCATACACACAAACACACACACGCGTATACACTGTGGCTTAGCTTATAGAACAATAGATAGCATACAGCCATATTCCTAATCTGGGGCCCTGCAAGCGTCCTCAGATGCTTCAGGAGGGCATGGAAGGTCTTGGTCTTCTCCCTTGGTTGCTCCGAAACCAGGAAATCCAAGGCATCTTTCAACTGTGCCAGGCTCTGTCCAGCCCCTATTGTTGCCCCTGAATGCAAAAGAATAGAACATCAGATTATGGTGAGCGTGCATGCCTGCTTCTAAATAGATCCACTCTTCTTGCATTTAGTTGGGATGGCAACAACTGATGATAATTAGGGATACTTCTAGTGATTTGCTTTATTGTGATGGCCAGCATCCAAGTCTACTTGATCAGATGGAGGAGAACCTACAAAACTGTAAAGCTCACACTACGCGTATCTGAGAGCATTTTGAGAGAAGATTAACTAATGGGAGACTTCCCTCAGGGTGGACAGCACTGTCTTATAATTTGGGGTCTGGGATGGAGAAAGAACACTAAACCATAAAGAAAGAGAACTGAGCATTTGACACTCTCTGCTTCCTCACTGTGGAAGCATTGTAGCCAGCAGCTTCCCCAGCAGGGGCTTGTTCTCATGAGTTTGGAAACATTGTAACCAGCCACTCCCCCAGCAGCGGCTTGTTCTCTTGGGTTTGACACTCTGCTTCCTCACTGTGGAAACATTGTAACCAGCCGCTCCCCCAGCTCTCATGAGTTTGATACTTTGTTTCCTCATGAAACATTGTAGCCAGCTGCTCCCCAGCATTGGCTTGTTCTCATGAGTTTGATACTCTGCTTCCTCAGTGTGGAAACATTGTAGCCAGCTGCCCCAGCGCTTGTTCTCATGAGTTTGATATTCTCTGCTTCCTCACTGGAGTCCCATTGCAACCAGCCACCCCCCCCCACCTGCACTTGTTCTCATGAGTTACTCATCACAGGATTTGCAAATGTGCTAACAGGGCGTGGTTTCAGTAGTGTAGTCTACCAGGTCTAATACAGTCCACAAGAGAGGGACTAAAAAATTCTCAGTATGTGCCCGGCACCAATTAACCTACTGCAAAAAAAAAAAAAAAAGCAATTCTTTTTATCTATGGCATTAAAGTTTTATGGAGAGTCCATGAGGGAAGCAGTTTCCTGCTCCTAGGAGCAATGAATACTAGTTGGAGCAACAAATGTAGCTCTGTGAGCTCTGTTGTCCATCTCTACCCTCGTCAATGACCTTCCCTCACCCGTTGATAGATATATTCTAATAGTTAAGAAAAAATAGTGACAAGCCACCTGACTTAAGACAGACACGTCAGAGGGATAGCAAGAAATTACTCAGTTGGTTTCTCCACCACGCTCGTTTTTTTTTTTTTTTTAACAATTTAAGCTTAGTATTTTTAGCTCTTATCTATTCAATTAAATTGCATGTGTCCTGGTGTATCAGGGAGCCTTGTATGGGCATTCTCAGCAAAAAGAAGATGGACGGGATCTGGACCTGACTTGGGAGGCCGGGGATATCATTAGATCATTTGATTCTGAATCTTCCATAGGGTTCTGGAGATTCCAAGGTATGGGATAGGTCTGTCTCCTAGGGCTGTCCTAACAAGCAAAGAGAGGACATGTGAATGTACCTGGCGACATGTGAAAAGAATGAGCATTTTAAATCTCGTGGTCAAGACTGTGTGTGTGTTCACGTGTGTGTGTTCATGTGTGTGTGTGAACAAGTGCATGGGTACACATGTGTGTGCCATGAGCCTCAAAAGAGAAAATGTCTTAAGGGTTTATTGGACCGATCTTTCTGTACTTGGCTAAACTCTTTGAGCTCTTTGGAACCTTCTTGCTGTCACGGCTTCAATGACAACGTGACTTGGTGACCCAGTGAGTGAGATGTCCTGAGGACACTTATGGTGAACACATAGCACATGCCCAGATGCTCTGGACGAAGAAGTGAAGCCAGGACTTCTGTGAGGTGTTGCTATTGTCACTGGCGTCCCACTGAGCCAAGGCTGATGCCCCATTTGAAAACCAAACCACTTACCATTTTCTGTGTTCTTCACCAAGTACAGTTCTGGAAACCGAAGTGGAGATATAAAAACTGGATGAAATTCACCATTAAATTTAATACTGGGTCCTTAAGGAGAGAAACAGGAAGCAATTAGAAAGTGATCAGTGGGTTACTGGTACAACAGAGTAAAAACTATCATGTATAGAATTTATTTGCAAAAGAAAAAAATTTTAAAGGACACTGAGTCCCATGAGTCGAAATGAGCTGCGCTTATGGAAAGTCTGAGGAGGGGCTTTGGTTACCCAATCTGAACTAAAATGTAGGAATAACACATACCTACTGCAGTATTTCCCATGACAAGTGGGGCTTTCGGGTAGCTAGCCTTGAGTTCCAGAAGGTCCTCCAAGGTCACAGGCAAGAACCAAGTGGTCCTTGGCCCTCGGAAGGTCAGCCTCCGCTTATCTGGGTCTTCAGCCATTCTCTGCAAAGAAGAAAAGCCACTGTGATTTCCAGGGATCCAAAAGGCCCATGGGTCATTCTAACCTTCTTGGGAATTAGGGAAAGGTGGGCTAAAACTACCAAATAGACGAGACCATATCCCGCGAGGCATCTAAGGGCAATGTTTATACTCGTGAAGTAACTGTCTCAAAAGGCGCAGCAGATAGTGCAAGTGCCTTGGTCCATTCCAGTTCTGGCCTGCCAAGGAAGAATTAGGATCTCCACCCGAAACAGCCTCTGAGAAAGAACAGGCTTCTCAGGAGATTTACGGCATGGCTCTGCTAACTTGCCTCACTGCTAAATCTATGTGAGGGGAGGTGGAGAGAAGCTGAGAATATTTCCTCCTTGGTTCTGGGGAAAACTGTAGGTAAATGCATATCCTGGCCCTTGCCTCTGGGGTCTTCAGCAAATCCGCCCTTGGACATGCCCACAGGCCAACTCCGTGTAGACAACATCTTCAGGAAACTCTTCCCAAGTGATGCTAGGTCATTTTAAGCTGACAACTAAAGCCAACTGTTCCATGATCCATAAAAAATAAACAAAAAACCTGACTCACAGCCAAGGTGTCTAAGTTCTCACACTCTGAGGGGCACATGGCATTGGGTTCTGAGAGGTCATGGTAATTCTCTCTCTCCTGTCATGGCTTCTCCAAGATGCAGTAACAGGAGTCCAGACCTACCACAATGTGACTTGTTCTTTTTCCTTTTTGCCATTTCTTTACTAGGTTGGACCAGTGGCTGGCTGATAGAACAGTCAATTCCATTGTCCCAAACATCATTTTATTCTCATTTTCCTGTTTTCCAAATTGGCCTTAAGACAACCATCAGGACCTGAATGACCTTCACTGACTCATCTATGCTCTGACCTCGGGATCTCCAGCTGAAGGGATTCAGCCAACAGGACTCTGAGGTTCTGGCAGCACCCCTCTTTCATGTGCTCTGGTTTGATCACCTACTGAAAGAGCTGAACGAGTCCCTGAAAATGACTCTATTGTGGTGGGCACACACCCATCTCTTAGTAGCTAGAGAGGTTCTATAGTGTGATACAAAGAGGCCCATGCCACGCCGTATTGTGAGACGGGGAAAGCATAGCAACTTACGATCAGCTCGGGAGGAAATATCGGTTCCTGTGAGGGGTCCAAGGGCTGGAACTCGTCTTTGTAGTACAGTTTGGTACACATCTGGACACCATGGAACACAACGTAAGATGGAACGTCAGAGCTACTGAGAGACACACAGCCGTATTTGAGCATGGCACTCCCCCCTGATAACCCGATATGAAGCAGGGTGCTGGAGTCACAGGGCTCCCCCAAGAAGAATTCTCCTGTCGCTCCTGGGTCTGAGGGGAGGTGCCTAAGCCCGTGGATGAGACTGGATTTCTCAGCTGTCAGAGGTGAGCATTGGCCTTCCTCCTGTATTACTGTATTTCTATGAGCACAAAGCTGCCTGATCTGGTTAATATTTGATTATCAACTTAACAGGTGCTAGAATCCTCCAGTGGACGAACCTCCAGCCACGTCTGAGAGGGAGGGTCTGGACTGGGCTAATGTGTGTGATGCCATCCCATGGGCTCAGACTGAATGAAAAGGAGGAAGGGAGCTGGACACCGGCAAGCATCTCTCTCTTGGGATGCAGTGTGGTCAGATGTCCTATGTTTCTGCCTTCCCCTCCACTGCACTCTCAAATATTTCTGCCTTGTAATGATAATGACCGAAAAGAAATGTATCTAGATACATTTGGATTTTTGTGGACATTTTCTGAGTCAATCCCTAAAGGTATAGGGAAAACAGACACTTACTTTTTCCTCTCTACTCACAAAAGACCCCTCGTCTGGATCCATGCAGCATTGTCCAGATCCTTTCATTTGGCAAACAGTCGATCCCTAGGGAGTATTGCAATTTAAGGCAACTTCGCGGTCAGCCCTTTGAACGTGATGCCTGAGACCCCCATATCTGTAACCCCACCTGACTGGTCTGTGGATTCCTCACTTCTGCTTTTGGCCAAGAGGAAGGAGGTCCGGCAGCATTTTTGCTGTCTCATCAGTTAGACTGATTCCCCAGCTTCCAGTTAACATAGGTAGCAAGGCCTGGAAACAGCAGGCACATGCCTGCGGTTCCAGTGCTTGGGAAATAGAGGCTGGAGAACTGGGAGTTCAAGGCCATCCTTAGATATGTAGAAAGTTAGAGGCAAGCCTGGGCTACAGGAAACCTTGTCTCAAGAACAAAAAAAAAATTCAAACAAATCAAAAATACATCAGCAAAAACAAAAAGCAGAGGGGCCAGGATGTATGTAACCCAGTGGGGTAAGCTGGTTGTAAGAGCTTGGTTAGATGCTTTATACTACAAGGAACAGCAACCATGCTCAAACCTCTCTGTGATTTTGGGAGGTTAGGCAGCAGGGTATTTGGCTTCTGGATAATTAGAGAAAAATGAAGAGAGTGTACAACTGTGCTCACAGCGGGGGCCACAAACTGTCACTCTGGGATGGGAGGGGGACACACATGGGACTGGAGCCCATGGGATCAGTCACTGAGGCTTCCCACCGGACATGAGAACATGCAGGCTAGGTCTAGTGTGGTGGTTAGCCCACGCAGATGGCTTTTATCTTTACAGCAACAGTGAAGTCTTGGGGAGGCAAAAGTGGTTCCCGAAAACCATATATTTCAAGATTGTCTGCCCCTGTTGTAACAGTGCACTACACTGATGAACTCAGTGTGGGTACCTGCACAGAACGGAGTCCACCAGCACAGCACTCTGGATGAGGTGGGGACTCATGATACATGATCCCTTCCTGAGGAACCACAAGCTATTATGTCTGCTGGGATAAGGGAACCAGGCTCCTCAGCAGCACAGCCACCAGATGGCACCCTTGCTCAAGTAAAAGACCCCTTCATCCAAGGTCTCGTAAGCAACCCTAGTTAAAATGCGGGTCTAGGGTGGGTGACCCAGAAAAAAGACATGAAGGGGGACATGTTGGGAAGATGAAGCTGTTTGGCAGGACTGGGGCAGGGTAAGAGAAGGTAATGGAGGTGATCACGACTAAAGTCCATTACATACAGGTATAAAATTGTGGATGAATAAATACAAATTAAAAAATACAATCAGTAGGCATCTAGCAACCCCAAGTGGTTAGAATGGGCAGTGTGGAGTTCTTCTGGAGAGATTGGATAAAATAGGCTGTTTTATGTAAAAGTCTATTCAACACATTAAGTCAGCAGAATATTAACCTCCAGCATTTTAACTTACCGGTGAAAAGGTTTTCACACTTTCTACAATTGGTCGGTATCCGGTACATCGGCACAGATTACCTGGTAAGCAAGGAACGAGTCAGGTCTTTAGGTCTCAGACAGAAACAGACTGCACATTTATGTTTAGTGTTTTCGGCAAAATGGGCAAATTTATCCTTGCTCTGAAACCCAGCAAGACTCTTCGAATAAACGTTTCCCTTGGAGATGTTCGTGAACAACAGGTCAGGTGATTACAGTGTATTTGGAGACACTAGAGAAACCTTCACATTTCCCCACCGACTCTTCCTGCCTTATTTCATGCCTGTCCCCGAAACAGAATACCCATTGTTGTCATGACTTTCTCACAGCCATGGGAGGAGCAGTTTTCTCTGCCAGCTGGCTCCATCATGATGATCAGCCTCACTACAGACTCTACAATAGAGTCAGGAGATCACGAGCTGGAGCCTCCAAACTGTGAGTCAAGGCCAATCCGTTCTCTTCATAAGTTAATTATCTCACGGAAAGCTGCCTAACACAGGGATTGTTCTTGGGGGTCTCTGGCTCTGTTCTTGGGGGAATCCTTTAGGCAGGACTATTCCACTAATTGTCTGAATCCAACAATGGGTGTGTTGGGACACTTGTGAGTTCACCTTGGTTTACTTGTTGGGTCATAAATTGGAAAAGCAAGACTGTCTTGGAGTTTCTGGAACCCACCGCGAAAGCACAGTGCATATTCAATATGTAGCTATTTTCCATCAGTCAGCATTTCCAAAACATGGTTAGAAGTAGGAGGAAAGCTGCCACCCTTAAAACAGTGTCTGAATCTAGGTGTGATGGCCCACGCCTTTGATCCCAGAGCTCAGCAGACAGAGGCCAGCCTGGTCTAAAGAGTGAGTTTCAGGACAGCCAGGGACTACATAATGAGATCCTGTCTCAAAAGTTTGAAAATGTTTTATGCAAATTTTTACAAGCAGTTTGAACAGTAACTGTGAAGAGGTCTTAATAACACAGGGAAATTCTTGCAATTTCTTTGACCCTGAGAGCTCTTAGTAACTCCACTGGGTGCTCAGTGCTTCACTGAGCAATGAAAAGATGACTGAGTGCTCACTCCATTCAGGCTTGGTTAAAATTACAACTAAAACCATAGGCCACAGCAGTTAACCAGAAACTGAAATTTTTGAATGAAGAAGCTCTTGAGAGAAAATACTAAGGAACACCTGTGTGCCAATTCCAAAAATATTGAAGTTGAACTTTGAGCTAGTTTTCTTCCGCATCTTCTCCTCATGATGGAGTTTCTGCCGGTGTCATTTGTGAAAAGGGATAAGGAACGGCCTTTCAGATCAATGAGCTGGATCAATACTGTTAATAATACCTGAGATCTCATATCCTGAAACTAGGAAGGTTTGCAATAGAAACTATGTTTGTTAAAGTGTCTTTTTAGATACAAAGTCAGAATTTTTATACTTAGATTTATCACTATATCTTAGGAATTGAATTGCTCGCTGCTTGCTTTTGATAACCCATTGTTTCTGAGCTGCCCCACAACCAGCCCGCACATAAAGATGTAAAGTACCTGAAAAATCTCTTTCCTCTTTTCTTTGTAGGATTGATTTTAGTAAGTAATGTTAGCGAGTTATTTTGACTAGTTAAAACACAAGCAACAAAGCCAGGCAGTGGTGCTGTATGCCTTTAATCCCAGCACTCAGAAGGCAGAGGCAGGTGGATCTCTGTGAGTTCAAGGTCAGCCTGGTCTACAAGAACTAGTTCCAGGATAGGCTCCAAAGCTATAGAGAAACCTTGTCTCACTCCCTCCCCTGAAAAAAAAAATACCATTTAAGCATCAATAAAAGAAAAGGTCTTGTAAGGAAGCCAGTATTGCCTCAGCTACCAGCCTCAGGGCTGCAGAACCAAGACGGTGTCCGTCTGCCTCAGCGTCTTTCCAAGGAGCTGGGCCATCTATCTTTAGTTCCCTAAGCAATGCTTGCCAAACAAAGCCTCACCTCCAAGTGCCTCGGTGATCTGATCAGGCGTCGGTTCTGGGTGGTTCCTGAGCAGCGTGTAGATGGACATCACCATGCCAGGGCTGCAGAACCCACACTGTGTGCCATGACACTTGGCAAGCCGTTCCTGAGAGACAGAGGTACGCCATTAGCGCATTAGACCTTTGGCCTTGCGTGCTAGCCAGCAGCACAGCGTCTAAACTTTCTGAAAACAACTTCAGGAGAAACGTTTGCCTCTGGAGGAAGAAGATCAATTTCTTGAAGTCAGATACATGTATTTCTTGAAGTCAGATACGTGTATTTCTTGAAGTCAGATACGTGTATTTCTTGGTAGATACATGTATTTCTTGAAGTCAGATACGTGTATTTCTTGAAGTCAGATACATGTATTTCTTGGTAGATACATGTATTTCTTGAAGTCAGATACATGTATTTCATGGTAGATACATGTATTTCTTGAAGTCAGATACATGTACTTTTGTTTTTTTAAAAAAAGTCTAGTAATGAAGTGAGTCTCATGTCTGCTTTCTTTTTTTCCCCCAGTAGCTCACTTACTCTATCCTCTATCCTTTGGGTGATTTATTCAATTTTCCTTCATCTTTACCATTAGGCCTGCAATTTACAGAATAAATGACTGTGTAAATCACTGAGCAGGCTCTGGACAGGCGTCTTCATGCTTTTTCTTATTTAGAGACTTTTTGGTATATTAAATGTTCTAATCTATACATTTTAAAAATGGATGTCTCCTTTATATTGTTGGGCTAGTCACACATTTAAATCATGTACATTCAATCTCATGCAGATAAAACACTGGGGGGAAATGCCAATGTATTTGCTCTGTACAAACTCTCTAACTGTATAAAATCAGGGAAGCTGCCAATGGAGGCAGGTCTGTCACTCAGTTTGGCCTGTCTGTCGCTACATGCTCACCTAGCTGTCTCGAGTATGATCCAAGTGCTCTCAAATGAACATTCTGCCCCCCAAACAGCATGGCTCCTATAAAGAAAGTGAATATTCTGTCTGTGGCTGCTCAGAAATGACAGACATTATTTAAGTGCGAGGGGACAACATGGCTGTGTTGGAGTTGTCGCTACACGGCAGTTGTGTCTGCTGTGATAGATAGTCTAGGCTGTAGAACCTGCTGGTGTGTTTAACACGTGGCTCTGCCAGCGAGACAGAGCCTCTTCTTTTCCAATTTTTATTGTACAAACACCTCCACTACCACGGCAAGCACAATTATAAAAGCCAAGGGCGTCTCGTTTAATTCGACTCAAGGATATATCTAAAGACAGCCAGCGGAAACCCTGCAAATTTAACAATCAGCTTTCACAAGCCAGGGCAAGCCCGCTCCGGGGCACCACTGACCAGATGTGACTCATGCCCCATCAAGACCTGGGAGAGTTAAATCTACTAAACATCAAAGGAAGCACTTTTAGAAGAAAAGCGAGGAGAAGCGATTGCAGGGTAAGATCTACAGAACAGAGCCGCTTTAGCTCACAGCTGGAGCGGACAGGTCTCCCTGTGTGCGGGGGAGTGGGGAGATGGGAGGGTGGCAATGACGTCTCTGTGTTCCTGCTACAACCTTTCAAGGAAGGAGCCTTCTCGTTCTACATTCTGCCTTTAAAACTCAGCCAGCAGGAGTTTCTGCTCAGTCACAAGGAAACAATGTTGCCCCGTCTTTGGACAGCCTTCCCAACTTGAGCAACGACCCTGCTGATTTTAACTGTAGCAGGTTTGGGTGACGTTCTTGGAAAAAAAAAAAAAACTCACACACAGCTGAATTCTCATCAGCATCCCACCCTTTGCAACAGTGAGGAATGAAGAAGTCTGTTTTCTATAAACTTTAGTCTTCTGCCTCATTTTCTTCTTGAGTAAGACTGCCCTGGACTTTTAGTCACTGGTAAGTACAAAGCTGAGAAGGTCTCTTAAATAGTAAAAACATAAAGGATTTCGAGCTTGGAGAGCTTGGAGAACACACCAGACTGTGGGCCATGCCTGTACCATCTTGAAGAGCTCAGGAGAACCCACCAGACTGTGGGCCATACTTGTACCAGCGTCTGGTCCCCATGAAACTGTGATCTTACCTGCACAGGGTGAATCCTCTTTCTGATGCTTCCCACGCCTTCCACTGTGGTAATGGCTGCCCCGTGGAGAGAACAGATGGGCACCAGGCATGCTGTCACTGGGTAGTGGCTGGGATGGGCTTATGTAAAGAGAATACACTGAAATCGTGGGGCGTGGGTGACAATACAGTTATTTCAGTCCAGGAGAACGGCAAGGCTGTATTTCCCCATCCATAGAGAAGATGCCCTAGACAACCATAGACTTCTGGCCATGCCTAAAAAGAACTTACATATCCCATGTGGAGGAAGTAAAAGAGGGGATGCTTTCATGTTGGACTACCAAGTGACCTTCCTTCATCTTTTCTTATTTTATTTTCTTTCTCCTTTTAAGACAAGTAAGGAAGTTTTCTTCTTTGGATCGTAAATATCTCTGAAGGCCTCAGCCTGATGCAAAGAACCACAGGTAAGTAAGGGATGCCGAGAGGGGGAGAAAGAATCTTCCCCAGGGAAGACCACTCCTCTCTGGTTATCCAATCCCAAACGGTCAGCCATGAAAACACATGTATACAAGTTACATTGCAGGCTGAGAAGGTCATATTTGGGAATTCGTATGTGTATATAATTCCTTCCTGCATCTCTTCCTTTTTGGTTTAGCATGTGAGTGAGTGAGTGTGTGTGTGTGTGTGTGTGAGAGAGAGAGAGAGAGAGAGAGAGAGAGAGAGAGAGAGAGAGAAAGCATAAGTGTGTGTGTGTCAGTATGTGTGTCAGGACGTGTGTTGTTTGTGTGTGCAGAGGTACGTGTGAGTGAGTGGATGCGTGTGTGTTTGGATATGCGTGAGTGTGTATGTGGTCATGTTTGTGAATGCGCGTGTGTGGGCGTACACGTGTGCACATGTGTATGTGTGTCAGGACGTGTGTTGTTTGTGTGTGCAGAGGTATGTGTGGGTGGATGGATGCATGTGTGCATGTGGATGCATGTGAGTGAGTATGCGGTCATGTTTGTGAGTGTGTGTGTGTACACGTACGCACACATCTTTCTTTGCCCATCTCCCGTTCTGTTTTCTGACAGTGTCCCACCCTCTCTGCTCTCCTGAAATCTGTGCTACCTTTCAGAGGGTCTGGCTGAGAACCTGCATCTACCACAAAGACATTCATAAAACTTAATTTTTTTGCTGCTCTTTCTCAGTTTTAAACATGGGCGACAGTCACACTCATTTGACATTGTTTGAAGAACTAAATTTGATGACATATTTAATATGGAAGCATTTCTTCTTCTTTTTGTTGTTGTTGTTGTTGTTGTTTTGTTTTTTTGAGACAAGGTTTCTCTGTAGCTTTGGAGCCTGTCCTGGAACTAGCTCTTATAGACCAGGCTGGCTTTGAACTCACAGAGATCTGCCTGCCTCTGCCTCCCAAGTGCTGGGATTAAAGGCATGCGCCACCACCGCCCGGCTAATATATAAGCATTTTGAACAGTGTATGACATTCAGTACGCACTCAGTTATTTTTGCCAGCATTTTTCTATTACTGTTAGTACACCCCATAAGTTATAACTCTGGAGTTCTAGCCTTCTCGGAATGGTAAAGCTCTGTATAGAAACACCTGTCAGACAATCCCCTAGAGACAGCGCATAAGGACCCTGGATGTGTCCTCAACTAATCTGCCACTTCCTGCCTCCTCAGCTTCTCCTCTTCCAAGTTCTATGGTTCGTGAAAGACACCGCCCACCCATCACCCAAGGCGAAACCTTGGCAGTTACACTAGACGACTCCACTGTCACCTCCACCACAGAGAGCAGATTTGTATTTTCAGGTCAAGATGACACAGCTAGGTTTGAGTAATCACTCTCTCCTCCTGGGAAAACGACTCTTGTCAGGGTGTGCTAGGGCCTAAATCTCACCGAGACTGTGACTCCACCCTAGCTGTTCCTGCGGACACTTCTCTGACCTCCTGTTCAGAGAACAGGAACCATTTTACAGCAACAGAGAACAGAGCCCCGAGAGCTCAGAACATAGGACAAGTAAGTCCTGCTGGGCAGAACGTGTGTGGAAGAGAGATGGAGGCAGGGTAAGACTTGGAGACAGGAGAGAAGGGTGCATAGTTACAGGGAAAGTGAGGCCTTCACGGGGAAGTCTCCTTGTCCCTCCCAGATATGCCCAGAGCGTAGCCAGGCCCGAGAAAAGGATACTGAATCTTCTTGCTCTTGGGATCATATCTTGACACCATCACCGTGCAGGCGCCACAGCCTCCTCCCCCACAGCCATATTTAGTGCCTGTGAGACGGACTGGAAGGAGGAGAGTCAAGGAAAAGGGACCTGAGGAGCTTCAGCTGTTCTGTATCTCTCCCTTGGATGCCGATAACAAGCGCAGTGCTCAGGAATTGTGTACTGCGCTGGTCGTGCGGCTTCTTGCTGAAAGAGTTGGCTCAAGTTGCTACCCACCTCCCAGCTCACTGATGAAAGCTGAGGAGGGGCTAACCAGCTTTTTGAAAACTGGGTCCCATGGGCATTTCCGAACATAAGAATTTCCAACTCATGCCGGGCGATGGTGGCGCACGCCTTTAATCCCAGCACTCGGGAGGCAGAGGCAGGAGGATCTCTGTGAGTTTGAGACCAGACTGGTCTACAGAGCTAGTTCCAGGACAGGCTCCAAAGCCACAGAGAAACCCTGTCTCGAAAAAAAAAAAAAAAAAAAAAAAAAAAGAATTTGGAAAGGTGATGAGCTAGTAGTTGGGGGTCTAGCTCGTTGGTAGAGTGCGTGATTCCTGAAGCCATGGGTTTTATCCTCAGCACCCACAACAACACTAAGCAATAAAAAAAGAACTAGCAGATGCTGGATATTGCAATTTTTAGTTACTATTACTAGGGTTTGGGAGGGCTGAGGCAGGGGGATTGCTGCGAGTTTGATGACAGCCTGGGTAACAGGGAAACTCAGGGTAGCCTGGAATAATACACAGAGAGACTCTGTTTCTTAAGAGCAAAACCAAGAAAGGAGATGCCGTGCCATTCCCAGTGGGTGTAGGGCAGTGCCTTGCGGTCAGTGCGCATGTATGTCTGCCGTGAACCATGTGTGCATTCTGCCTAAGTAAGACACACAAACCACACGAGCCTGATGCCAGCTCAGTGTTTGCACCCAAATGCAATGTGGAAAAGCTCATGGCTTCTGCAGAACTCAGAACTGTGGGCCACGGGAGATGAATCCATATAGCGCCCAGTCTTTGGTTGCCACAGAAGGTGGTTTGTGTAATATTCAGAGACCTCCTCCTGGGAGGCTCAGTTTTCTCTGGTACAGCAGGATTTCCTTTCGCTTTCTTATGGAATTAGAAAACATTAATTTACGGGCTGAGGATACAGAACAACAGAGGACTGTGTTTTGCTCATGTGTGTGCAACCCTGGGTTCAATGCGCAGGTTAGTAAATAAAATAACAACCGTGACTCTGGAGCCAGTCCCAATCTCCAAGTCAGATGCTTGCATATTTTCTCAAAGAGAGAACAAAAGATGTATGCAAATCCTGTTTTTTTTTTTCTTTTCTTTTTAAGGTGCGCCCAGGAACCTAGCAGAATTGGCTCGGGACCTTTTTCTGGGTGCAGTTTAAAAGGATCATGGGTGGAGCTGGTAATTGGCTTGGGCTGTGGTTGAGTCATTGTCTTCCCTTGATTGCTGCCCTTGGTGAAGAGCTGCAGTTAGGATACTTCCGGAATGCCTATCCGAGAAGTTCTTTGCATCCTCCCCAAGAAGGTGTTGCATACCTGACTCTGCTCTTTAATTCAGAGCGGGTTAAGGCAGCTCAGGAATGAGAGAGAGGGCTGGAGGCAGTGTGGGTCGGACCTTACAGCGCTCCTGTGACTAGGGCACAGAAGACAGGGAGTGGTTTGTTACTGCTTTGGGAGTCTGGAAAGTTTCAGGTCAAGAAGTCCAAGTGCTCTCTGGCTCAAAGGTGGAATTGAGCCTTCACTTGGTCAGCATGTGACATCATGTGACATCACACGACAGCCCGTGACATCACATGACAACACGTGACAACATATGACTTCCTCTAAGCCCTTTGCTGTCTGGACATCCACCAGTTGGTTCCAAAACTCTCTTTCTGCCCCCCACAGAAAGCCCTGATTAGTTCCTTCTGCGTTCTATTGGCTCATTTTGGAGCTCCTCATTAGACCACGTGGCCAGATAAATACAGGACTATCGGTTAAATCTGAGCTTCAAATAAACAACCAATAACGGTGTAGGATGGGTGTGTCCTACGCAATCTCAGCTTGAAGTAGCTGTGCTTTGTTTTCATAAGTGCCACATACAGAAACACGACTTGGAGTGAGCAGAAGCCACACGTTGTAAATTTGCATTTTGGTCCTCCACGGGGGAGAGATTTCTCACTGCCTCCAAGATGGACAGACAGCCCTGCAGCATCCTTAGAAGCTGTCTTAGACTAAACGGACAGATAACACGTACAGGGAACATGCCACCAGAGTGAGACCCTGTCCCTTTCTTCAAAGTTCTCGTTGCTCATCTCTTCCTTTTCTGTCACATGTATCATCCTCACGTTCAGCTTTCAACAGAGCCAACAAAAACTGTGTTTATTTCTCTAAAACAAGATATTCCTTCTGGTCCCGTGCCTCTGATCAGAACACCCTTGGCTCCAGCACTTCAGCTTTGGCTGAAAAGTTGTGTGCTCAACCCTAATCTCGTCTCATCCTCTCTCTCCATGCCTGGCTGGGCATCCTTTCTGATGCTTCACAACATGGCTCCAATCCCTTCCCCCTTGTGCCTGGTACGGCTGTCTCCTTCGCTATGATGGGCCAACGGCAGTGCCTGCGTAGCTTCTGAATACTTAGTGCTCCATAAAATTTGTCCTTTGGGTAAACACAAACTGTTGTTTTTATTTGTTTGCTTTTAAGATAGGTCCTTGGGGTCCAGGCTGGCCTCAAATTCACTCTGTAGTTTAGGATAACCCTGAATTCTGATCCTCTTGACTCTATCTTTCCAGGGCTGGGAATAAGGTGTCCACCGTCACACTTGGCTCGTGTGACGTCAAGAGCAGAAGCCAGAGCTTCATGAACGCTAGGCAAGTGCTCCACCAACAAAGGTTTTCCCCAGCCTCTTGGATGAAGAAGAACTATTTTGAAAATCGCAGAGCTGGATGTTGGGGACGAGAAGGACAAAAATGCTTCGGAGATATCCATGTCCACAGATTAACGCCAGAGCTAAGATCTCACAGAGATAAACTCCCTCTGACGATCATCACCCTCTTACCCAGCAGATCTGGGCAGGCTAGCAGGGGATGGGTATGGTGACTCAGTGGGGGAACAAAGGCCATCATAACTCCCGATTTTGCATAGAGGGGGTGGAACAGTAGAAGGGCCTAAGACAGCAGTAAATTGGGGTTTTGTGGGGCCTGACATTTCTGTAATATGAAAGGTGTGATATGAGAAAAGATTAACAAATTATGACCGTTAAACATAGAACTGGGACTTAGGGAGGGTCTACAGGAGTGCTTTAAATTGGCACTGTTGCTGGCAGAGCCAAGCTTTCGTCAGAAGTAACCACTAGGGGACAGGTAAGAGTAGCACCTCCACCCTTGGCTCTAATCAGAAGTCGGGGCCTGGAACTCTGGAGAGCCCCATTTATCCAGAACAGCAGATTCGGGTTGTCACCCTCGAGCAGTGTGCATAAGGGGTGTTGGCAATCTGGGGGGGGGTCAGGAGTTTCACCTAGTGTTGGCTCTGGCCGTGGTTACCTGGAAATCTGCATCTGAATCAGGTTATTCTTGATATTGCTTTCTTTTGGGAAACCTAGAGAAGGCATGGCAAAGTGTATGAGGGCCTTAAAGATGGTTTAAAGGGAGGCGGTGATGGGCTTTGCCGACCAGGGGTGAGGTTTTGAAGGGGGGCAGAGGGGAGTTAGTGGGATGGGGAGGAGGATTCCGGCTGTCCATGGCGCTCATGGGGAGGGGACTGCAAAATGATGACCCAGGTAGTCAGATTGTAAGGCTTGAGCGGACAGATGGAGTCTGGAGAGAGAAGATCAGGCACCAGGGACAGGGTAGTTCTAGAACACCCTTGTCAAGACAGGCCTAAGGGAGCAAGCGAAGGGAGATGGGGAGACAGAAGGAGAAGGGATGGTGTTATCATATTCACCTCTGACTTCCTAGTGCCTGGCAACAGAGCTTGGCTTACGTGTGCCCACATGGAGGCCAGAAGCCAATCTCAGTGTCTTTCCACAGGCCCAGTCAGAATTTGTGTGTGTGTGTGTGTGTGTGTGTGTGTGTGTGTGTGTGTGTGAAAGGAACAGTCTCTCACTGGTCTGAATTTGAACAAGTATACTAAGCCGACTAACCAGTGAGTTCCAGCAATCTACTTGTCTCTCCCTCTCCTGTGTACCCATGCCTGGTGTTTAAAATTTAAAATGATTTTTTGTTTGTTTTTTCAAGACAGGTTTTTTTTTTTTTTCTGTAGCTTTGGAGCCTGTCCTGGAACTAGCTCTTGTAGACCAGGCTGGCCTCAAACTCACAGAGGTCTGCCTGCCTCTGCCTCCCGCGTGCTGAGATTAAAGGCGTGTGCCACCACTGCCTGGCTTAAATGCTTTTATAAATGTTGAACTCACGTCCTTGTGCTTGTAAGACAGATACATTACTGACTGAGCTGTCTCCCTCACCCTAGTGAGTACATGTGTTTAACTTAAAAAATTATTGCCGTCTCTGGGGAAGGATAGGCGACAACCACGTATTTTCATGACCTAGCTCTTCTCAATTGATGATATCCACATGGGGATAGTAGGCTATGCTATGACACTAAGGCCAGAGCTTAGGCTGGAGAGATGGCTCGCTGGGTAAGGAGCCTGCTGCTGAGCCTGAATCTGATATTGATGCCTGAACTCGTGTGGTAGAAGAGAGAACTCACATCCTTAGAGTTGTCCCCAGTCTACACTCATGTTCTGTGGCTCTCTCTCCAAATGTGAAAAGAGACAAAACTCAGGAACCTAACAGCAGAACTGGAGGACAGAACTTATGCAAAATCTCCTTGCTATTTATGTGTTTACATGACTGTGTGTGTCTACCTGTTACACATGTGTTTACATGCCTGTGTGTCCACCTGTTACATATATGTTTATGTACCTGTACGTGTCCACCTGCTTTGTTACACACACATTTACACACCTATGTGTGCAGTTCTATGCTCAAACACAAGAAACTCTTCTCAGAGAACTGTTTACCAATGTCTGATGAACACTTCACAGGAGAGGGAAATCCAACCCCAAAGGAAAAAGGATTGAAAGGTCAGAGGTGGAGATCTGAAAGAATGTCAGAATTCGGAAACATATTTATCAAAGTTTGTTTTCTCTGCCAAGAATTACGCAAGGGTGTGGGAGGAGTCCCTTAAAAAGTCTTGTGGGGACACCATCATCGGGGACACACCCTGAATGTTTGGCAGGACACAAGTTTGCCTAGAGATGTTTAATCCCTGGGGTGACCGTGGGCCTCAGAAGTCACGAGGTTGTTTGCAGAGTAGGCACTCACGGTCCCCGGGAGGGCGGAAATGCAATAAACAATCTATAAGTCTATTATATGAATCCATACAGCCATCCTTGGAGCTCCAACTAGAAGCCACAAACGGAGCGCAAGTCATTTACCTAGAATGGCTGCAGGTGGCTTTTCTCATCATTATGTTTTAAAAGATTTATTCTTATTATTTTTATTTATGCGAATGTGTGCTGTGTTTTCGTGTGCGCATGAGCACACCTGTTGAGAATAAGAGTCGGCTCCCTCTGGTGCTGGGAGTGTGAACTGCAAGGTGGTTGTGGGCAGTGTGATGTGGGTGTTGGGACTTGGGGAGGACCAGTATGGGCTCTCACCACTGAGCCACCGCCCCGCCAGCCCTTCTGAGAACGCTGAGCCGTTTTATACCCCTTTACCGTCAAAGGATATGAACTTTTCTCAGGTAGAAGAGCAGATTCACTTCAGGGTCAGGGCTCTTCTCTACGACCTACAGTGTGAAACAAGGGGAGGGTTTGAGGAAGATGTTGTCTCGGGTCACAGCAATCCAAGCCTCTGTAGGGAGGGTGCGTTTACAATGTGGGTGGCTTTACGGAAGTCTCTCGGCGATTCTTGGAACCAAAAGTTTGGAGAGACAGTTCTTCACTCGGTAAAGTCAGGAGGAAATGCTTGTCTGAATTTTCTATCATCTACGGCAAGCATTTACTCCTGACTTAGCCGGAAAGAATGGGAAACAGACGCGCAAACATGACTCTGATCACTCACAGCCACAGAAAGTTGTGCAAACATGTCAGCAGAGAAGACCAGGTGGTACCAGGGCCCTTGCTTCCCAGCTCTGTCAAGGTGTGAGGGAGAGCCACGTGGTACCCGTCACAGCTCCGCCCTCAGCTGAGCGCCAAGTGTTATGGCAGTTGGCACTTAAGAAAGCCCGCTGGCCTCAGGACCTGAAGGAACCCAGCCAGTCTCTCTGCTGCGAACTGTCAGACCAGATGGGGAAAGCGAGTCAGAAGCAAAGCAGCGTGGAACCCAGATGTGGAGCTAAGGGCACCTTCCTCTGCGGCGCTTTGTGGGCACATCGCCTTTGCGCATGGCAAATGAACCGCCGGTCTCTACTCCACACCTCCCATTTGCAGGTCGCCTTCTAAAGTCCCCAGAAGATTTACCAACGCAGAGATTAGCCCAATACCCACACTCCAGGCTGTGTGTGTGTGTATAGGGGCCTAAGAGCAGAGGTGGAGCCTCCGAATCTCATGTTCTTTTGCACTCTTAACTGTGAGAACACGGAGCTGATTGTCAAAGTCGGGCACAAGATAGCAACAGGGGCTGATTAACCTGAAGAACAGCCGCCCCTTCTTCCTGTTTCCTCTGTCCCCAGATCAAGAACCGATGACACCTCAGGCTTGTATTTCCTGCAATAGCATGTCTGGTAAAAAAAAAAAAAAAAAAGTCTGCCCTTTCAGTCCTCGTGTTTGCAGTGACTGCCACACAGGTGGACTACTGTCCCCTCCAGCCACGCCTGTCTCAGGTCCAAGGAGCACAGAGTACGGCAGGGTTCCAGAAAAAGAGTGAGGTTTGATTTGGAGTGATTAAAAGCCTGTCAGCTGCAAACCAGAAGCCAAGCAGCCAGCATTCCCAGCCGCTTGAAAAAGAGCTCGGGAACTGCATGAAGGAGCAAACCTCTTCTTAGCAAGCATAGGAAATGGGGAGCAAGGGCCTTAGCAATCGCCGGTGTGTACTGAAAACAACCCAGGGACGGCAGCAGGAGAGTAGCAGAATGCTGGAAGTCAGCCTGGAGCAAGCGCCTCTATGCCAGCTATCAACAAGACAGATGTTTTCACAGAGAACACTGGGCAGTCCACCAGCTGTAGGGAAGGCAGTCTGTACTGGAATTTGGAAAGCCACCAAGGCGAGCCTTGCTGCGATTTCACACTCCCTCAGCAGCTCTGCTGAGTGAGCATGGTTCAGGCAGCGTTTTGGGAGGGAGGGCTTGGCTGGGGAGGAACCGAAAGGTAGCCTGTGTCTTCAGCAGTAGGACAAGCCCATGAAAAATAAGCCCGCCCTAGAGAGCTGCGCACTGGTGAGGCGCATTTTCAAAGAGGACCGCATACAGATCCAAGACTGGAGCTGAGTCCCCAAACAAAAGAAACAAAAAGAGGTCTGCCATCTCCTGCCACTGCTTTCGCAAATTCAGAAGCCAGGCATTCGTGCCCCACAAACATGGCCTCTCTCTGCATTTCTGCAGGGGCACGTGAAAGGCAGCTGGAAAAGAGACCGTTTGGCATGCCAGAAAAGCGTATGGGGGAGGCACAGAGAAAGAAAAAAGCCCCCGCAAGTGAGGCACCTTGGGGAGACTGTGGGGTGATGGGCATTGATCGACACCGGGTCTTGGCCAACTTGAGCCCCGAGTCTAAACAAAGGAACCGGTTTTGGCCAGAACAACATCTTCAGGAGTGTGTAGATTGCACCCCCCCCCCCTTTTTGACATCTACAATTTGTCCTAGAAATATGTAAGATAAAAATGAGCTAAAAGCACCTGCACTTCAGTTATGCAATGAAGAGACTGGAAACTCACGTTTGGGAAGCGTGTATGTGAGCATTTTAGCATTAGAACATCAAAGAACATTAAAAGACACATCAACAAAACTCGTTCCCCTTCCCCCCAACCTCAGCCTTGCAATCCCCAGACTGTCAAAAGTTTTACTTCTGATGTCCTAGGCTCTTTTGGGTCAGCCCAATACACCAGGTTTTCTTTCTGTTCTGCTTTTTCCCTTTTCATCTGTCTGTCTTTCTGTCTGTCCATTTCTCTCTCTCTCTCTCTCTCTCTCTCTCTCTCTCACACACACACACACACACACACACACATTCTGTCTTTACAAGTTTACAAAGCTCTCGGAAATGGCCTTTTCTTGACTATTTGACTGGAAAAATTGCGAAGAATTTTTGCCTTTCTTGAGTTTTGTTTCTTCCATTAGAAAACTCTGCAATATAGCAACCCCGAGGTGTAGGAAACAAGACTTAACAAATTACTAAAATAGTATTTAATTTTACTTGTTTTTTTTTCTTGTTAACTGCCACACACAATTAATATAAATTCTGACTATAAAGTACTCTGCACTTCCCATATGCTTGTTTTTCCTCTGTAGAACAAGGTTGAGAACATCTCTTGGCTCTGTCCTTTGCAGAGGCTAGCTACTGCACCGCCTGCCAGGGAGCCTCTGGCTCCAGGGTGATGGGCTTGGCTGAGGGAATTGCTATCATTTGGTAACATTTGAGATTCATTTGCTGTTGTTGCCCCCCAGGGTCCTGCCTCTTTCCTGGGCAAAAAGCATTAGTGAACTCAGGTGGAGCTCATATCTAACCAACATAGAAGGAACACCGGCTGCTCACCCCTGCAGCCTGAAGCGGTCCTGTCAGAATTCACTGTTGCCGTCACACAAAATAAAATATTCCTTTCGATTCCGAGTGAGGATGAAAAGCAAGCGGACTCTCCACGGTTTCACCATCTGATGCGATAACGATCCATGTTTACAGTTGTACCCCTACCGAGGCACTGAGGAGAGACACCACAGAGAAGCGACTTCACCCTCTGTGAAGGAAACTTATGCATGCTAGACACTTACCTTTCTTCCATTCACAAAAAATATCAGCTCGTCAGAGTCGGAAACGGAAGGCATCGTGCCGATGGAAAAACCAAAAGACGCAAAAATGAAGTCAATGCCCCACTGGCAGGTGTATCTGCTTGTCTATCACGGGTACACCAGAGCAGGGACTTGGGAGCTGACCGGTCCCGGGGAAGTCAAAGCCAGCGGCACAACCCAACACTGGTGAGATTTATAGTCAGTCATGCTACCAGCCCTGCCTGCCTGGCCCACAGAGGCTTGGCAACTCTTGGCAGCATCTGGTTCTCTCTCTGGCACAAGTGAGCCAAGCATTCCTGTGGCTGTTTGAAGTCGGAGACTGGTTTTTCCACATTGGGTTTGGAATCAGGGGCTAATCTATGAGAAGTGACTTTTAAAGAGACGATTGCAATTACGCTTAAAAAATTAACAAGCCTATTAACTAATTCCAAGCTGCTCACATGAGGGAGACTGATGCCTTCTCTGGTTTCTCGTGGGTTTAACTGCGAAGGAGGATTGTCTTATGGATGTGATGAAAGACCCAAGTACATCTTTAATTTTTTATCAATTCATTTTGTGTATATGTGTATTTTGTCTACATGCGTGTCTGTGGACCACAGGTATGTCTAGTGACCTGAGGGGGCATTGGATTCCCCAGAACTGGAGTTACAGATGGTTGTGAGGCAATATGTTGGTGCTGGGATTTGAACCCTAGTCCTCTGGAAGAGCAGCCAGTGCTATTAACCGCTGAGCCAACTCTCGAGCCCCTCCACTGTGTCTTTAAAGCTTTATTATAACAACCTGCAAGTACCTTCTCTGCTCTTGATTTTTTCTATACGTACTTGTTCCTACTCCCGAAAATCTGAGAATTTAAGACAACAGATTATTTCAAGGTCCTCATGCTCGGTAAAGCCCTAGATACAAATGTATTTGAAATGACCAACGTGCACTCAAGTTTGCTGTGGGCTGGAGGCTGTTCTCACAGGTTGGGAATTTTGTATAATCTCAGGAGAGTATCATTGTCATCACCGTCACCATCATCACTGTCACCATCATCACCACCACCACCATCACCACCATCACCACCATCACCACCACCATCACTGCCATCACTGCTACCACCACCATCACTACCACCATCATGACCATCACCATCATGACTGTCAGCATCACCACCATCACCATCATCACCACCACCACCATCACTGTCACCATCATCATCACCACCATCATCACCACCACCATCACCACCATCACCACCACCATCATCACCACCACCATCATGACTGTCAGCATCACCATCACCACCACCATCACCATCACCACCGCCATCACTGCCATCACCGCCATCACCATCACCACCACCACCATCACCGCCACCACCATCACCGCCATCACCATCACCACCACCATCACCGCCACCACCATCATCATCACCACCATCACTACTTTGTAAATGAGAACAATGAGACACGGAGATTTTAAGTGGCTTGCCCAAAGAGTCGGGTTGCCGTGGAGTCTGCAGCTTTAACTTTTCCTAGGATGTTATAGACGTCTGGTGGGAGTTGGGCCAAGGAGCAGTTGTGCCAGGTTCCGAGGGCCATGGAGCCACTGGGAGAGGTGTTCTGAGGCTCCTAATAGGGCTGGAAGTCATCATGGATTTGGGCAGGATGGATTGCATTTCAGAATTTACAAACTGCTATGGAGAGGGAAGAGCTTGGGGGAGGGTGAGCCGGAGCTACAAGTTATGACAGCGGCACAGTAGAGAGGTTCGGATGTAGACTTGATGAGTGTGGTGGGGGGGAGCAGGTGTCCCATTGGCTGTAGGTGTGTGGGAAGCCCAGCTGTAAAACCCAACAGCTGGCTGTGAGATTTTAAGTCCTATCTGCACAGGTTAAGTTTGAGATGCTAACACACACACAGATACACACACACACACACAGATACACACAGATATAAACACACAGACACACACACAGAACACACACACCACAGATACACACACAGCTATACACACAGATACACACACACACACACACACCACAGATACACACACAGATACACACAGAGATATACACACAGACATACAGATACTCACAGACACACACACACACACACAGAGATACATACACATGCACACACACACTGTGAATGGCTGTTGGATACTCAAGGCTACCTTGTTTTCTTTTTTCTCTTCATCAGAGCAAGGGCTCCAAGTCTGGGGCTGGATTCCAATCCCAGCTTCTGTCAGGTCCACAGTTGGAGCTTACCATCTGCACAGACCTCTGCCTGCTGCCTTAGAGATTCCAAGCATCTTCTGCTCCACGCTTCATGCCTGTCCAGGGACTTGGAATGTAAGAAATGGGGTAACTTCGGGAAATGGGCAGTAATGTAGTGGATGCATGCAGGAGTGAGGCAGAGATACAGGGGTGAGGCAGAGATACAGGGGTGAGACAGAGGTTTGGAACTAGGTGGGAAGGAAAGCCCCATGAAGTTTCCATGTAGGATACAACATAGCGTAATTTGAACTCAGTCATTCTTGGGCTGGGGCTGGGGCTCAGTCTGTAGAGCTTGTCTAACTTGCATGAAACATTTGACTCTGGTCTCCAGCACCATATAAACTGGCTATGGTAACCGATTCCCGTAATCCCAGCACTCAGGAGGTAGAGGCAAGGTCAGGAGTTCAAGGTCAAGCTTTTTTTTTTTTTTTGTGACTCCAAGGTCAGCCTGGGATTCACAAGACCCCGTTTTAAAAGAATGAAGCTGGAGATTTGGCTCAGAGATTACAGGTGCTCGTTCCACTTCTAGAAGACCCACGTTTGGGCCCGATATGAGGAGGCTCACAACCACTTAGAACTCTGGAGGAGCTCCAGGAGATCTGGTGTCTTCTAGCCTCGGTGGGCGCCCACACATCCACAACACACATGGAGACATATTCGTACCCGTAAACAAGATAAACTTTGAGATGAAAACTCTATTGTTCTCATGGTATAGAGAAAGAATTGTCACTGGTACTATCAGCACAGACCTGAAGCCTTTTCTGTATACCCCAGGCTAGAGGTGACGCCACCTTAGACTGTGGTGTGATGTGGCAGACTTAGCGATAAGTATGGAGGAGAAAGAACGTCTTTTGTACGGAATCTGGGGACACAGCCAACTGGACCAGTTGACAGATTAGATAAGAAAGGAGTAAAAAAGTAGAGGAGAGGACACAGGCATGGACAGCTGGGTGGGGCAGTACCAACCGTGGAGATGGGGAGTCGGCCGTGGGGTTGGTGGACAGGACTGGGGTTCAGGGAAAGGAATAAAGATGTCCTTTCTTGGATCTATACTGTTTAAATTGCCTTTCTGAGTCCCAAGGGTGTATGCCAGTGTAATACAGGAGTCTAGAGGACAATGGAGGCTAATTTAATTAAACAGGTTATCGATTGCATTAGCACAAACTCCTTGGGGACCGCCATGCACTAAGGACAAAGTGCTCTTTCTCTGTGGCAGGAGAATGCTGTAGATAACTAGGTCATGTGCCCTTCCCAAGACTGCCTTGCCTAACCTGCGAGGTCAGAAGGGCATGCTGCCCTGCCTGCCTCCAGAGGAGAGGTCACAGCAGGCAGGCTCAGGCTGAGCAAGCCTTTGATGCCTTTGGCAGTGGCAGTCAACAGGATTCCCGGAGAGAGTGCCTCAGACAAATATCCTCACCACCGCCAGCATCCCAAGTCCACCATAGAATTTTTGTTCTGCTGGTTTTCCTTCCTTTGTACAGAACTGGGGCTTTGCACAAGGCAGAATAGGGCCTGAGGGGTGTGTGTGTATGTGGTGTGCACACACACACATGTGTGCGTGTGTATGTGTATACTTAAGCCTGCACAGAAGCTAACTTCTATTCAGCATTCAAGCATATGCCAGGCCAGATGTCTCTCTATGCTGCTTCATTTAATCTCTATGGTCTTTACGGTAACCTTTGAAAACAGGAATAGCAATCCTCACCTTATAAAGAATCACAGGTACTCAGAAAGTGGGTTACATGTATCGCATGCCCGCGCCTACGACCTCTGAAATTCCTTATAATTTTATACATTCTGCTTCCTTAACTGCTCAGTGAGACAGATTGGCTCTCAGTTTCTTTGGGAGTGTCTGGTTTCCATGGGACATGAAGCAGAAACTGTCGAAGCTTTTTAAATGTCAGGGTGAGGGTCTGAGCTCGGAAACTACTGGTCGTCGACTGGGCTGGCTCAGACTTGCCCCTGATGGAGCCCAGTTCGTGGGAAGGCACTGCACGACCCTGCCAAGGTGTGTCAATTTCAAAGCCAGGTGATTTAGATGCTTGTTTCAAGCAGACGGGATGGCGGTGCTTCCCTGGTGACCAGAACTGCCTACGTATAGAACTCTGCCTGTTCTGGAAGACTGAACAGTGTGGCACCCTTCCTGAGCCCTAGGCTTTGTTCAAGCTTGTACCAATAGTGTCCTGCTTCCTCCTAACATGTGAAACCTGCAACCACACCTTGAACCTGGAGCATTTCTTGAGCTCCTCTCTAGCTGGTGGACTTGAATCTTTTTTTCCCTGTCCTGGTGGGGGTCATCCTAGTGGGGAGTCATTCTGATAGGGGTCATCCTCCCCATGCTGAGAATTTAAGAGGTGGTGTTAGGGGTGTCATTGAGCATTCTTCAAGAGATGCAGAAATTATGAAACATAGTAACATTATCCTGGGGTTTCAGACTACTCTCTGGGCCCCATAATCAGACTGGAACGAGCAGGAATTTGTAGGTTCATGCATCTGATCTAGGCTAGGGCAATTCTTGGGGCTCCAGAGTGCTTGCTCAAGGCTGCCTATCAAGTTTCCATGAGCGGATTTCATGGGCTGTCGAGTCTCCCCCTCTTCTCTCCAGCCCCCCCTCCCCATCTTCTATTCCAGGCAGTTTTCTGCAGGGCTGACATGCTCTTTGGGGGTCCATGAAAATGTTCTCTGATCTTCTAAAGTCAGAACAAAATTGTGACATAGACTTTCTCAGATTACATTTGCCTTGTTGCCAGTGAAGCCACAGGATACAAGTTTTAGGGTTTTCTGGGGGTGGGGGGGGTGCAGGAGGAGAGCTAGGGACCTAGAGGATCCAAAGTGCCAAGAGTCCAAGAGGGTCACAGCACAACCCTCCCTCCTCTGCCATATTGTCTGATAAATAGGTCAGTGCCTGCTGCTTCATCCACCGGCAGAGCCATCGGTAATTGGGACGGGCTTAATTCAGTGGTGAAACCTTTGTAGCACTGTTTATCTAGAAGCTTAAGCCCAAATCCCCAGCTTTACTTGAAATAAATTGCTACACCTACTTTGTCATCGGCCCAATTCTTTTATTTCCTAATTGTCTTGGCTTCATGGGGGGGGGGGCTCCCATCCTGCACCACTAATTGTTTAGTGGTTTCGGGATCGCATCTCCAGATCCGTGCTTTGTGAGGTTTAACCTATTTGTTCTTCTCACGAACATTCCAACGGCAAGGTGAGCGTGATT